TCAGTGAAAAGGCAAAGAAGGTAAAATTGTTACTTTGTAATGCTTATTACATGTTCTTGGTGAATTAATCATAAATTTGCTTTTGAACACGAGTACACTGAGCAATTTAAAATGATTCTGCGTGGCTAGGGGGATGTTCGAATAGATGGTTGTGAATGGCTGATATATCGATTCAATATAAAGATTCTTCGGACGATCTCGCGGCAGCTACATTAGAATCATCAAAGTTTGTGTTCGAACTTCGCGATTTAATATGCATAAATGTCATCGCAATTCTAAGATGCAAAAATCTCACCGAAGCAGCTACTGGGCAGAACAATGGAAGAGAAAACAAGAAAAGCAAAGTTTGAGGAAAATGTGGCCTTTTATACGCTTTAAAATCAAATTTGCATTCAAAGTAGAGCGGTGTAAGAGAAAAGATAACATCTGTTTAGGTTTTCGTTTGTTTGTAAAAAGTCTTGCTGAGCGATGATAACAAGCAAATATGGTCGATGGAGGGCATTTATGACTGGAAGATGATAGCACGCTACTTTGCAGTCTTTTCCAGTTTGCCTCCTACTGTTAGTTTGTCAACTTAGTTGTTGATGGATTAATTGGAAAAGCAAAAAATAATGCATGAAATATCGTTTTAGAGGGTACACCACCGATGAATAGAAGCGTCCAAAACTGGGCTAATATTTGGCCATCTAAAAATGAATCCAGCGCATTTCAATTGTAAGCACTTTGCTCCGGCTAATCTTACTTATCATAACATCCTCTTCAATGGACAAAAAGTAGGCAAACAACAAATTACAGATTGTTTGAGAAACCTCTTGACCAAATCGTCTTTTGTAAATTACTGTACCGAAAGGCAATCAAACGGCAGATCTTACGCCTTGTATTAAAGTTTAGGAATTAAAAATCACAAACACAGGAATGGGAGAATTGGTATCATGCTCAAACGGTTAAGATAAAACAGGTGGTAATAAAAGAAAATGTTTGGCCTCATCAAAAAAACTTTTTATAGGCTTCTTGAACTTAATTTCATCTTTCAATACTTACAAAGCTTTTTCTGATATAAGTTACTCACTAAACAGTGTGCACAAAAACCAAGCAATTTTAGGTATATAATCGATGGAACAATTTTTGTAAATTTTCTGAAAATGTGAGCTTACTTTACAGAGAGGTTACAGAAGGACAAAACGTTGAAGAAGAACACAATTTTCTTGGCATTATGGGTGGAAAATTGACATAACTTTCGCTAGAAAGTTTTTGTATGCAGCTACAAGCCTTAATACACATTGGCATAAGAGTCTGCATCAAGTGGTATTCAGCTGCCTGAAAAGACGAATATGAAAACATTAATGATGTGCTGAAATTCAACGTAAACAACAATTGAAGAGAAGATGACAAACTGAAATGAAATTTTCGGTGTTTCTAGAATATCTCTTTTTGGTAAAGTTCCCCTAGCTATTGTTGTGTCCCAGTCGCTAACCTCAAGACAATTGACTGAAGAAATGTCAGGTTTTTAGACGCTTTACGCTAGCCCAGCGCTATAAAACTATGATTAAGTAGCCCATAGACCTTTTTTCCACATTCTGCAACAGAACAGACGGTAACTTCTATCAACAGCAAATCCCAAGCTTGGCTATTGAATATGCTAGCTAATGATAAAAAGGGTCAGCTTGGTAATCAAAATTGGCCAAGATTATCTGTCCTGTCGTTGGGGAAAGTTGAGGTGGGCCTTTCATAAGAAACAAAAGCTTGCATCCCAGCTTAAGCACCTAAAAAAAGGCTATAAAGTTTGAAAATATAGTATGGTGGAAAATGACAGGTTTATCACTGCGCGTTTTTCTTATAAAGGAGCATGGTTGAGAACCTCTCGCTAGAGCTGCGAAATCTATAAGTATTGAAGGAGCATTCCTTGCTGAAGAGACCAGCGCGGAACAGCAACCAAAGCACTTAGATAACCTCATCTAAGCCAAGGGAAAAACATTTGTGCAAAAACTCAAACTACAGAACTTATTTCTCTGTTATCCCTAAAGGCATCGAAAGCAGCACACAGAGGTTTAATACAAGAATGAAAGCATCAACATCAGCGCCCAAAATTAAAAAATACAATTAGAATGAAAAAAAGAGGAAGCCCAATGTGAAATCAAATTCTACAACATCGGTTGTGAAATAAGCTCAGATAAAATTTCATTTGACCAGGCATGAAAATTAAAGATGCATTTTTTATCCATTCACAGGCACCGCAGAGAGGGTAACTGGCCCCCCAATTTTCGCCAGAAATGCAAAAAAATCTGCCAATGAATCACCAGTCAAGCCATGTCTGGTAACACTACTTTAAAGATCTAGAAAGCCAATTTGACATTCGCTGTGAACATTTCAAAAAATTTGATCTTGAGATAAGAAAATACAGGCTAGTTTCTAGAGAGAATTCACCCAAACAGCTGTTTTGTCTGGCTTATCTTACCCTGATAAGGCCTGTTAAAAACCCAACTGAAACTTGCAGTTTCACTTTAAAAGATAATTACGTGAAACTCGTTGTGGCAGTGCGGCTCAAGGAAAAGCGTTGAAAGTCGATAACTGGGGCTAATTTGCAAACTAAAGAAAAACTTGCATTGGGGCTAATTTGCAAACTAAAGAAGACATTTGCTTCTTGTCGCAGACATGATAGAATGTGAAAAGAAAGGCAAGAAGATCTTTCAAGCAGACAGTAGAAAAGGTAAGCTTTAAAGGAATTACGTATAAAGATGAATTGTTGCTTCCTCAAACCAAACCATGTTTCTAGAAGGCGGAGTTGTGAAGGCAAACAAAGTGTCGAAGAAAGTTTCAACCCCGCTTTCGCCTTATTGGGGCGGATTTTGCATGAACATAAACGAATAAAAAGCCTGACAAGCTATTAGATAAACTATTGCCACTTTTAAATCATAGGTAGTACTAAAGTAGAAAACTATTTCAATAGGATCTTTTTAGTCTAAGCAGGTCTAGATTGATTTCGAAAATGAACAATTTGATGCTAGTTATTTTGATCTTTGAATCAAATTGGTATGGAAAGATATTTGAATAGAAGAGGCATGGGAACACACAGGGGAACTGGGGTATTGGATATAGGGACACAGGGGTATGGGGTTATGAAAGCACAGAAACATGCTAGCATAAACAGAAAGTCCTTCTTTTTGTTTCCTGCAAAGGGATGTCATGAAAATTTACCTGTACATGAGCAATAAATATATTCAAAAGATATATTTGCCCTGAAATGAATTTTCAGCCAGCGTATCGGTGTGGTCACATGTATTTCTTGGTATCTTTGCACGCTGCATTTCTCATGGCCTTATAACGAACCATCGTCCTAGAACAAACACATTTGACAAGCTTTCTGCATAAAAATACGTTTAAAGAATTAGAGGATGAGGGCCATGTTTAAAATAATTTTATATTTTAACATTATTTTCTATATTCAAAAAGATAAAATAGAACTTAGTTAATCAGGCTTGCTTAACATCACGGTGATGGTGGGAAGTGCAAACATTGCTAATCGGAATACTCCATCAATCGACATTAAATATTTTTAACATTATGAAACAGGACTGCATAGTCCAGAAGAGAGTTTCAAAGTTTCTGGTCATCCGAAAAAAATTTCTCTCTTCTAGTGTTTTTTGTTCGCTTAATTTATAGTGTTATTGTATTGATTTTTGGTTTTTTATGCAAGTAATTTGTGAGAGTTCGGAGTTTAATTCTGGCTGGATAAATTTGACACTACTTTAAATAACTGATTCCATGTCTACATTTTTGTCAGATTTTAAAAGGAAGCCTCTGGAACCTAAAGTTACCCTTAATTAGCCATAACTGATTTACGTGTGTTTGTTGTTTTTCATTCCGTCGCTTTGCGGCGTTACTTATTCCATTGGAGTCCGTAGAGCAGCCTGCTATCGTGGCCTTTCCTTTATTCACACTCTACATTTTACCCTTGATTGTCCCCTTCCAGCTCTTCTAGTTTAATTGATTTACATTCTTTGAATACATAAGTAAACAAATTTCTTTCCGAATCAATTTTTACATCGAATATCAAACTGCTTTACTTTTTAATGAAAAGCCTCTTTTGTACTATTCACAAATTACACTAACAATCCGAAAAGCGCACAAAGAACAATTTTCTAACAAAGAAATCCTATCCTTTTCACCTTAACACTTGGAATAAATTAAATTGCTCTTAACATATCAACAGGCATGTTTACAAAGCTTCTTGCGCCTCTCTTTGATTATGAATTGATTAAAATGCGCAATTATGTAACATCAAATCGAGCCATTTTAATTGACTCCGTTTGTGAGACCTATAGAGAATTACCTGGGTATATCAAACTTAAATTTAGTTGGTTTCTTTCAGTTTCTATGCGTTTGGCCTTTGGATTCTAAAGCAGCTTTCTGTCACGTTTAATCATTACTTGCATAAAATTATTGAAGAAAAACTTTAGAAGTTCAGCGCCATGTGCATATTTGTAGGTAGAGCTCGGCTTCCTGAAATTCTTACTTCGCTATACATTGAGACGAATTCAATGTCACAGAGTATTGCGAGTTGAGCAATTAACAAAAATAAGATAAGAAATTCTGAGCTGCTTGGAAGGATAGAAGTTTCAAACCATGAAGTTTTCTTGATAGCTTTTTTTGTTGCATCGCGGAAACTCAGAATTTGTTTGCTTACATCACACGAATTTTTGTTCAAAGAGAATTGAAGTTTTTTTGAGTCTAACGGACAAAGCCTTAGTTTGGGTCAACACGGCATGAAACTCTTTATACCTTGAAATTTAGTCATTCTTCAAATGAACTCTCTTCCTTTTAAACTGGATGTTGAAAGTATCACTGACTAAGTGTGTCCAAAGTTAACACTAAAAAATTTAATCAATTTTAATGGAGCCGATCAGATCAAAGTGCAGCAAAGAAGCTTTAAATTGACACTGAAGATGTAGCGTCCGCCATTCCAACAGTGTGAATTGGAAGAAGTGAATGATGGGAAATATGTCTCAAGTTTGGTAAAGATAACTGGAAACATAAAGAGAATCAACAGTCGCAAGTTCTGGTCTCCCATTAAATTTTCATAGGAATTCCGAGCTGTATTCCGAGACGTACTTTAAATGAAATGTCCAGTTAGAGTTTTTATATCTGTTCATTTACTTAAAGAATAGCTGCTGTATGTTAAAGAAAAGTTTGATAAAGTAAAGCTTGATTTGAACGTACAGAGAGATTTTACTGAGTGACCCCCGGCCTTGACCTCACCAGATTTCTTGACGATAACCCCCTGAAATTTCCGTTTGCCAATTAAATAATAGCAAACGTTTTAAAGAAGATATCGTTTTTTAATGCGTTGCATTGATAGCAGAAAGGAGGGTTAAAACAATTGATTCATTCAATAGAGTGTTCAGCTGTTAGTTGAATGAATTGAGTTGTAATCAGCAAGGAGACTTCACATCCACTTGACACCCACAACGCAAGTATCGCATGAAATTTGAAGACGATTTCAAAGAAGAAAGATGGAAATGTCTGATGTAGAAAGCAAGCCAGGTATGCACAGAAAACATGTGCCTCGTATTATTCAATATATCTTTTAAACTATTTTACGGCAGACTTATAAGAGCTACTGAATAATTGTTTAATGATTTATCTTATATTTTCTATAGAAACAATATATCTCAATCGATTATCTGATAAATTTTTCGATGTTTACCACTTTTTACACTAGATTGTTCACAATTTTGAATGTTTGTCGATGGCTTCGTGGATAGTATTTTATGTTGATGACATTTTCAAGCACCCAGCTAATAGAGCAGAAGTCGCTGGATCAAAAAACTAGGGTTTCAATTAAATAGTACTTAGTAGAAATTTCAAGGGGCAAATAAAGAGTAGACTTTCATTTGCAGAGACGTCTCACATTTTTACAGTGTGCATCTATTTCAGTGTGTTTTTCGTTTCTTTTTGCAATCAAGATACTAGCGTTAACAAAACTTCTTTCCAAAATTCAGATAAATATTTCAGAAAAGAGTAGCGATACTCGGAAATTAGTGGTTAGAGAAAAGTAGCAGATTTCTCAACGATGGACAATTTGGCAAATCAGAAACTCTCAAAAACATAACGAGCAAAAATCTGGATATTTGATTTTAATTTTCTTTACCTCCCATATCTCTAGATGCTTACCGTTTACTGGAGTATGTAAACACTCGTAAAGATTAAAAAAAACAAAAAGAAAGTACGCTTTCATTAGTTCAGAAATGTGTCTAATTCTGCATATTTACCAAATCTTTGCTGCTGTCCTTCAAGATATTTCGTTTGAAAAGTGTTTAAGCTTCTTAAAGCTAGGCTTATGCCAACCTCTAGCATTTCTTCAAGTTTTCTATGGCGTTTATAAACACGATGCAATCTTCATGACGTTATGTGTTGCTCATCAAAGATGGTATCAAAGCGCGACTGTATTGGATATGTCCTGGCAAACTGTTATCTCAACAGAAATTAGGGAAAAAATTAAACTTGTGAAACTAAACAACCTTTTTAGTATAATTTAAATATATTTTCAACTCTAGCTCTTTCATTTGGCTCATACTAAGGACTTAAATATACAGGGAATACATCTAGCAAACGTTGTTAAAAGCAAATCAAAGGGTGCTTTGAGATAAAAAGTTTCATCATTGGCGTACCGATATCTTGGCACTCAAATGACAAGACGAAATAAAACTAGAGGGACCTACCATAAGATATTTTTGCAATACTTAAAACAAAACCTGATAAAACGTTTGGTTTTGTATTCTCCTGAGTTGCTTGCAGTTACATCGAGTAACGTGGATGCACTCGTACCACGATCTTCAGTATTGATGGAAACTGCAAGCGCATGCAAGTAACAAAAAGTAATTTGGGGAATATGTTTAATGCAAAAATATTTCTCTTAAACTGATTCTCTCACAACAGTCGATGATCTTGAATGATTTGACAGCCGAGGTTCCTTTGATGCAAGAGTTCATTTCTTCAGATAGTATCAAAAATCAGTTGTTACGAAACTATGTTTAATCCATCTTACAATTCCGAATGCTTTTCTTTGAAAAAAGATATCGAGACAAATCTGCACATAAAATTGTTCAAGATAATCTTAGTATGTGATCTAATAACATCAAAAAATTGTGTTGGTATATTAAATAACGACTTTTTATTAAGCAATAAAGTATTAGTTCGTCTATGGTCTGTGATTTTCTCGTTACACGATGTTCTTTATCTCCTTTTAAAGGTTTCACTGTTCGGTTTTTCAAATGAATTTTAGATTTGAAGGATTGACAAAACTTTCTTATTGTCATTTCTCATTTCTCTAAGACCAACACGGGCTAGAGTGATAGGAAAAAGGAAATTAATTCACAGAACCAGCAGATTAATCAAATTTTGACTATCAAAATTCAGGCCACAGCAAATAGAAATTTCATTGACAGCACGAACCCCGTGATGCATTCCTAAAGATCTCCTTGGACTCACGTCAATACAGAATTAATTGAGAATCAAATTGATAGAAGATTTCTCTTTCCTGCTTGCAACGAGTCATGCACAATGCTGCAGCCTTAACAAAAGAAGCAACTGATCGTTTGATAAGGCATACCAGAATCTTACACTGCTGCATTAACTCGCAGTTGGGCGGGTCTTTGCTTGCTGATGTAGGCAAAGATGCCTGTTTGACAAACGTAAAAATGAAAAGGTTTTGACAAAATTCTGATCAACTAGGATAAGGCTGCGAAACGATAAGACACGCGACACGTACGACCAATCATTGATCCTCGACTAACAGCTTGTTATTTACGGTTAAAGAAAACTTCAATGAAAATTTGATGCAATGATGTTTCTTCTTAAACGGCGTCATATCGGCTGTGAAGGTTGATTTCTTTAAAAGCAAAGGCAAAAATCATCTTTGTTTATCAGCTACTTGCCTCGTCATTGCAATCTTTCATCGGATGTTGTTTGTCTTCACGTTGTACTTTGCTTTTATTCCTCTCATTCAAATAATTTTTGTAACTCCGTACATTAAATTCTTGGCAAAGAGGTTTTGTGCATAAAACTTTTGGTAATTTTCAGAAGGAGACCGTTAATAAAAAAAGTTACGTTTTAAACTGGAAAGTTTTTGCCATAAGGAACACCTTTAATTCCCGTAATAAGAAAAGATTCCGGGCACTTATCAGGAAAAGGAAAACCGGGAGAATGGCTTAAAAATAGAGCCACAAAAACACTTGGAGAGAAGGAAATATATCTATTTGTAAAGGATATCCGCCAACAATTGCGCTTTATTCCTTACTTCTTGTGCACATGTGTTTCAGGCAATGATTTGATAGAACAGACTAGGAAATTTTGATATGCCTCGAAAGATTCAAAGCGTTGCATCGAAAACTTGCGTTGATTGGATGAACCGATTTCAACTGGCACGTGCACCAAAATGTTTGTTACTCAAAGGTTGAGCAGAAAATGTGGAAAAACAAGAATGAAATTGATAAAATTTTTTAACAATTAATCAAGATGGATACATACTTGTAGCATTAAAATGTTAAAGTCAGTTTCCTTAGCCTATTTTTACAGCAAGTGTCAACCTTTTCACAGCTTTTATCGCTTTGCGCTTTAACATTTCTAATTTGCTTTAACTCAATGTTTTGATTGATGATCATCATCAAATGATCATTGCGTTATTTATTTACTTAATAATGCGATTTTGTTAAAAAAACCAAAGTCTTTGTGTGAAAGGTAGCTTGATCAAAGACCTTTTCTCGATTTAGGCTCGCCATTGGACGAATCGCAGCCCGTTCATGTGCTGTCAGATCGAGAAAGTCCATCCATCTCGTCGATTCACAAAGATGTCCACAAAAGATCAGAAATTCTCTGCAAAGTTTGCGGTGACATATCATCAGGCCGACATTACGGCGTGTTTACCTGTGATGGCTGCAGTGGATTTTTCATGCGGAGTGTCCGCAGAGGTATGATCTATACATGCAAAGGCAATCAGAACTGCATTGTTGACAAGAAACGCAGAAATCAATGCCAGGCATGCCGATTCAAGAAGTGTGTTGAAGTGAAGATGAACAAATTCGGTAAGAATTCGTCTTATCTCATTGCAGGCTCATTTACCGGATGGCAAACAGTAATTGAGGAAATTGCTATAATTTTTGTCTGGTACTTACAGTAGCAAAAAATTTATAAAGTTGCTATTGTTATAAATCGTTAAGTTGGTAAAATCCTGTTATAGGACTATGGTGGAGAGTAAAACGACAACTGAACCCGAAAACTTGTTTGAGTGTATGATGGCGTGTAGATGGAGATGCACGCTTTTCGTGTATAGAACAGGGCAGTTCTAAATTGTTAGCACGAGTTTCACGCTTATAGTGATCATCAGGAAACCAGTTAACATAATTTGATTGACATATGAATTGTTGTTAGAAATCTATTGAAAGAAAAATGACAGATCTGTAAGAAGTTCCAAAATCGGTACATTCAAAGTTCATTTTTTTCGTCAACAAAAGTTAATTTGAAAGCAAGAAAGCTAGCGAATCAACTAACTGAATTGATTCAAGAAGAGTTAGAAATATTGATTTAGATTAGAAGAGGAAAAGATTGAAAAACATTTTCGCCTTCATTCGAAGAAACAAAAATGTAGTCTTTTGGCCACTATCTAGAAATTATTTTCAAGCGCATTGGCTCAAAATGGCACAAATCAAAGCAAAACATGATACCATTCAAAAGTTATTCGATGGAACAAATACGAACTTAAGTATAAGGAAGCCTTTCAATTTGAATAGTGTATTTTTGAATATCATAAGAGTCTTAAACTTCAAAATGAATCATTGTTGAAAGCTAATGAAGATATATTTGATAACACTTTTCTGGCTGAGTTGAAAAAGGGTCGGTAAAATTCTTCACAGATTACCGGGGAAAGTGGGAAAATGGAATGAAAGACTTGTATTTTAAGTTTATGGGTGTGGATTGGTGACAAACAGCTGGGCGGAAATTAGGAAGAGAGAGACAACGGGATTCTTAAAATTAAAAAGAAAAAATCACAGCAAAGAGACTTTTTCTGCTGATTTGAAAACAGAGACTTTAGTTTAGTTAGAATTTGATAAATGGAAAACTCAGATCAAAGCTCATTGCAAAATTTATTCGTTGCAATGTTCAGAACCAGGTTTCATTGCAAAATACAAGAGCATTTCACATTTTGAAATTTACGCAGCTTTTTTAAAGCACGTGACCGCCATGAAGATTTCAGCTCGTACAGAAATCATGTCAGTGTTATGGATACATAATATCAACAAACTTTACTGAAACGTTCGTTTTTTGATAGTCCTTTAACAAGGTGGTTTTAGAAACAAAACAAAGAATCCATTGAGTAAGAGAAGCGGATCCGTAGAAAGCTCCACGTGCGACAGCCGTTTTCGTATATACGGATGGGCTTTGCAAGTAAATATTACAAAGAAACATAGAGAATAGCACCTATTTGGCAACAAACATTGATTTTGAAAACATGAACAGTTTCGAATCGGGATAAATTAAACAGGTGTAGGGAATCAAAATACGGCTCAATTATAAAGCAATCAAGGTTTTGATTTACCAGTTAGTTATGCGGTTTGCCTTTTATGAAGAATCAGTTTATAATTTAGTTCCGACGCTTAAAGAAAAACAATTGTTACTCTAACAGAAATAGTAAATAAACATAAGTTCATTTTAAATTAAAAATGACAGGCTTAGAATGAGCAGCTGATTTCGCAAAGAAGTAAATTGAAATATTTTCAGCTTTTCATTGCATCACAATATTAACACATTTAAGAAATTAATTTCAGGTATATAATCGATTTCCTACTTTTCTGCAATAGATTGTGAATAGTTTTCATGAGGTGTGTTGTTGCTCAGTTGGCAAAGTTTTTGAAAATCGCAAACTGAAAACACTCAATGGAACTTATTGACCAGCGTTCCCGTGTTATGCCAAACTTGTAAAAAGACCTGAGACCGAGGCTAACGATCTAAGTAAACAAAATGGCATGATGCAATGACCTTAGTTGGAACTATGAGAAATGCCTATTCAAATTGTGGTGTAAATACATCATTGTGTTCAGTGACATTTGTAAGAGCGCAAACTACCAAAAGCTTGAACACTTATGCTTTGCAAATCTGATGCTTTTGGCCTAGATGTGGATGAATATGACATAACATTTTCTAGATCTATACATCCTTGAATGTTACAAATGCTACCCAATAAATCAAAATTGTGCTTTGAATTGCACCTTCAATATTTCACCAAAGGGAACTTCAGTTAGTGCTGGCAGTGAAAATTCGTCAAATCGAAATTATCCTTCTGGGATACTGTAGAATTTCTTAATTTCTCCTCACTCTGAAATTAGGCCATTCAACAATGTAGGCTAAAATTTGACGCGCACAATGTGCAGCCAGAAATACTCTAACAGACTGCACCAATGATTCATTGTTTTCAATACTTGAATCCATTTAGCTGCCATTGCAAATTCCATTAGGAAGCCCAGTTTTGAATTCTGTAGTTTCATTGATAACTTGCCGTAAACATCGCCAGCACATTTGCAAAGTAGTTTGGCCTAATTGAATCCATTTGACAAGATATCCCAATGTCTTTTCACAACCTCACGTGCCTTTGATAAAATATTCATTTTCAGAACTTAATCTAGCTAAAAATGTGTGTTATCTCAGGTCAGGACATCGACTACCAGCTTATTCAGAGCCCCCTAATCAGATTCAAATTATGGGCTTCAACTATTGGCATGTCCACTTAGGTAAAATTAAGAGCCTTAAACCAAACCGCGTATTAAAAATCAGTGTATTTTTCATTATAGGCCAGGTGAAATGAGTGTATAATCATTTAATTCGACGAAGATAAACAAAGCTTGCTGATAATCTTCGCGTCAAATTTTAGTGAGATTTAAGATTTTATCTGTGCTGTTTCGATTAGATTTGCATTGTGCGCTGTGACGCTTCGCTAAACGATACAGCCATGGGCCATTGAATCGCGCTGCGGCTTGTCGAAGCATAAAACATTAATATGCTGCATTTGAATTATCTGTTGCAGTATAGAGAAATAACATCACATTTAAGCAGGTTGTACATGGATGCAAGGAGCGTATATTAAAGAAAATCATAAAAAGTAGAGGGGTTTATCGGGCGTTTATTCCGAAATATTCTTGCTATAACTCATCTCTTTATAAGAAACTCTGCTCGCCATATATTGCGATTTCCTTTCTAGCTTTTTCAAAATTTATTAATAAATCAATATTTTTCAAAATGTTCATATTTATGAATCCAAATCTCCGAAGAGTACTAGGTACATGAGGTAAAATACAAAAATCTAAAAGATTCTATCCTTTAGTGCAATAGGCTTAATTTTTTTCCTTTTACATTTATGCTTTAACTTTGAAGGTAACATCTTTATTTTCATGTTGATTATGATCAACTACTTCTTAACTTTCTCCTCAAAACCAAAGAAAAATGTATTTTCTTTTAACAGCAAGGCATATACTTGGTAACAAATTCGAAGGCGATTCAAACACAAATACTGAAATTTTTAAGGTTCTCTTATATAGAATAAAAACGCCAGTTTAAGTCAGCTTCTTTTGTCAATCTTTCCATCAGCCTATTTGGTTTTTAGGAATCTCCTGCAGCACTTTCATCGAAATGTGTGACTCCCATTCTATTGACGATCAAGAGAAACGTTTTCTCATCTCCAAACTTTCAAGCATTTCCATTCGTACCACGTATTTCATACTCTGCTGTAGGACCAAAACTTAGATTGACCCAGAGTTACTCTCAATGGGAATATTTTTATTTAGCTAAAAAGACTAGCCGGTTACAAATTACTTTTTAATTAGAGATATTTACAATGAAACAGTTGAGATGGAATTTTTCATGAAAACTTTCCTTTATATTTTCGGAATTATCGGTTCAGATATATCTGGAAAATAAAATGCCGTGCTACGAAAAAAACAACTCTCAATTTTAGTTGACCTTCCTTTCTCTAAGTAGAGTATCTTATAAATATCTCTCATTGCTGCATCTTCTTGTAACGATTTTTGAGCATTTTTAACGGTGCTATACATTCTTCTATACTGTTTATTTATCCCCCTTTCAACTAAAGGATCAAGTGTAGAAAAATACTCGAGTAGAAATCGGAATTATGTTGATTGTCAAGAGATTAAACTGCTTTTTGTAAGAATTGTTTTATTCTGCTGTGTTGATACAAATTAAAACGAGGTATCATTTCAAATGCCAGCCGCATGGCATAAAGTGACAGCTGATTTGATCTTAACAAAAGTAACTGAGAATGCGAAATCAAATATAACGGCATTCCGCATACTAAAAAATTGAAAGTATTGTAATTATATATTACTTAAGCCCTGAATTAATACTTTCCATAAATACTGTCAACGTTATCGATGCGACGCATATTTTTCTCTGGAACGAACCACACGATGGGTGGGGTCTTGATATCAAATATCCAACAGAAATGGGCGAAGCCTTCACATAATTCCAAGAAGAACATTCAATGAAGCTTCGCCAATTTCGTCTTGGAAACATCATATCGAAGTTTCTTTGAATTTGAAAACCAACAAACAATATTTTCTTTGACGTAGTTTCACACGGTGTTCTCATATTAAGTTGAATGTCGTCTAATAGAATTTGGAAGAATGGGTATGAAAATGGGGATGTGACGTAAAAGAGAAATGAGATGGAAGACTACAAAATGAGAGAGACTCATGAGAGTTAGAACAAAGTGTCTCAAGATTCAAGAATAAAGGTAGAAGACAAGTACCTGATAAAATTGTTTTTTAAACAACCCTGAAAAAGGCAAATTGAAGAACAAAACATCAACATGAATAGAGTCTTAACAGGCTGAAAATCTCTCTTTATAGGAAAAAGATACACACGTATTTTGAAATGGAAAGAAACTAATAAACAAGACATGAAACTATGTTCTGTTTGAATGGGTAACGAAAGTTGAACATTACGACAAAATATATGACCTGAGATCGTTAAACTTAAACAGCTCTACCTCGCAGTCAAATTATAGATAAAGTATTTAATCCTTCGGAATAGCGAAAATTTCAACAGATACGAGCAGCTTGGGGTCTTAAGAAAGCGCAAATTTCACAACAAGATGGCGAGGAGAAACCGCTAAAACTAGAGAAAGAGGCCGAGAAGCGGTTTTGCTCTTACTTTTGAACTCAATACAAATCCATGAGTGAACTAAAACAAGTGTGCTCGTGTATTCACAAGAAATGCACGTATTTAAATGGAATTAACTCAACATTTTAACAACTTACAAAGTTTCCCTGCCTAATTTGAACTTACTAACGATAAACAAAGACTCTTAAAAATAAGTACGTTTCGTTTCAGCGCAACGTGGTTTCCAAAACAGATACTTCGTGCTTCCATGCTGAGATAATTGATACCTTCGGTCCTCTAACCTCAATCTTCTCAAGTAAACAAAGAAAGTCTACCGCTCACAAGAGACATAAGAAAATTTCAAACTCTGACACACCTAACCGAATCAATGAATGAGTTGCCCTTTCCGCCTGCAGGATTTTTAGTTTTCCTAACTTTAAAAACCTCTTAAGCAGAGACCAGAAATCTTGCGAAGGGCGTTAATATTTCGTTGGGCCTGTCATTTTATAATGCACTCTTTTTCTATTTAAGAATCATATAATTTCTTCCGAGTCTTGTTGTTCTTGTTCTACGGATAACTCGAAACGCAATTGTTTTCAATGTTGTTTTTATTTCGAGATTTGTGCTTCTACAGCTACAAGATAATTCCAAAACAACAAGACAACGGTTTTGCATGACATCGTTGTAGCACGGCTGACTAGCTGATGAAATCTTTTGTATTAAATTAGCACGAAAGTAAATTTTAGAAAACAATTTCTTTCTATCTTCTAATTCTTCATCTATGGATGGGCATGCTGTTATGGTGTTCTTTTCTTGGCAAACCGAGCTTCAGTATTTTCATAAATTGTGCCCTTATGAAGAGAAAATAGTGAATAATGCCAAATACTGAACAATGCTTCTTAGCCGATTTCTCCAGGCCATATTTCAAAACAGGTTTTTTGTAACACAGTTTTACGATGAGAAAAAAGATTAGATTGCAGAGATCTATACGGAAGATATAAATGTAAAGAGTTACTAAGTTTGATTGTAAGAACGGTGTTTGAAAGAAAAAAATATTTGGAAGATTACAGTAAACCAGCAAGGTTTTGAAAAATTGGATGAAAATATAATGAAAAATTCTGAGAAATGCTTCAAAAATTTTTTTGTTATACATAAACTTCGGCTTTCATGCTTAATTTCATGTTTCCGTTTCAACGCGGAGTATGAAATTTAACATATAATTTAATTTTCTTGAACACAGCAGTACAGCAAGAACGCCAGCCAAACACAGCCAGAATTCGAGACATGCCAGCTTCGAGCCAGGATACAGCGGAATATCACTATCTCCGTGCTCGGGCTGACTACATTTCCAGCTTCACGACCCCAGACGCACCGATTTCAAGCTCTCTGGTGATGTCGTCATATTCATTACCCGTCATGCATAGCCAGAAATCGCAGTCGCAAGCATATCACGCTGCGGATGGTATTTATGAGACCGCTGCGAGGCTTCTGTATCTGTCAGTGACTTGGGCGAGAAATGTCCCGGCTTTTCTGCAGCTGCCTTTCAGAGACCAAATTATTTTGCTCGAAGAGTCATGGAGAGAACTGTTTGTGATATTTGCCATACAGTGGAACCTTCCGCTGGACCTAAACTACTTAGTGGCGCCATTTGTGAACCCGAAGAAGCCCGCAGACCCGGAAACAGTGGCAAAAGTATCACTTGAGTTGAGAAGATTCCAGGAGCTGGCCACGAAATTCCGCGCGCTGAAGATCACAGAGGAAGAGTTCATTTTCTTGAAGGCCATTCTTTTGTTTAAATACGGTAATTTGAGTCTCACTAAATATCTGTTGAAAAATGCATGCACGTACCCAAGAACTATTTCATCTGAACAAATAGAAAATTATGCAAAAAAGAGTGAACAACCCAGAATTACTTGAGGAAATTTTTATAAATCAATTCTCTATTAAGCATTTCTTCTACAATTTAAAAAGCATCAACTTTGAGATTTTTTTTCCAAAGCATGAAATTTCAAGATCATGAGCGACAAACTTAAGAGTATTATGTTTAATTTCATAAGAAAGATGCTTCCAATTGAGAGGAAATTTATAAATCTACTTTTTCCTCTTTTTTTGGTCAAATATAAATAGAAAAAAATTTTCTTCTACTATGACATAAAATCTGTAAAACATTTTTAGTCAATGGACTTCTAATAATGGTAAGCAGCGAATTTTGATTCAGTTGATGATCTTAATTAACTAATGTATAACACAGAGCACTTGAAGAGAGATAACTGCAAAGACATCTGATTAACATATGTCATTATTGATGTCATATAGATTCACGTGGACTGAGAGACCCGCACCACGTGGAGAGCTGCCAGGACCAAGCCCAGGTCATGCTTGGCGATCATATCCGTCACAACTTCAGAGAGCAGAAGCAGCGCTTCGGCAAACTTATTCTTCTTCTGCCTGCCTTGCGTGGCATCAGTCCTAAAACGCTGGAAGATGTCTTCTTCAGACAAACAATTGGTCCGGTCTCGATCGAAACGCTTTTGGCAGACTTATTCAAGTCTTCATAGAACGCCATCACTGTTGTTACTGTAGCTGCGATTGGAATCTCGTTCGCTGCCAAGGAGCGTAACCAGGGCAACAAAAACAGAGATTTGGTCTATACATCTGGAAGAGTTAAAGAATGTGAAGGACTTGGTAGCATCTCATTTGATATATCGGACACTATGGAATGATTTTAGCTGAAAGCACTTTGTAACTTCCGCTTTGCATTTTGGTAAAGCCTATGTTTCTAAATAACCCGTAAAGCGGCTTAATTTTGTTGACTAAACTTGTACATCAGACCTAAGAAACTTTAAACCTAATTATCTTAATGGCTTGTAGAATAAATAAATAAATAAATAAATAAATAAATAAAGAGAGGGGTTGAGATATAGTTTGATTATAACTGAGAGGTAACAAGAAGGTCACACAGCAGAAACCCGTAAACAGGAACCCGCATTTTTATTGAGCCTAAGTGGGTGCTAATTGAATGGGCAAAAGTGGGTTCCGATTTAATGGGTATCTTTTAATTAATTAGGATTATTGGTCCTTTGTAATTGCCCTTAAATTCTGTCTAATTTGTCATCATAGACCTTCAATCCTTTTTTCTTGATTTATCCAGTATTGTGGTAAATGTGTTGCACTATCTGGTATCTAAGCTATGCAGATTGGAATTATTCTTAGTAATTCAAATAAGAACCTATTATGCAAGTTAGGTAAACAAGAAGCTTATTAAAGTGGCCTAAACACCACTTTCAGCATACAAGTTCTGATAGCACTAGGTTCATATATGCGGGTGACAACTGTAATTTGGGCATGGCAAACTAATGGGAGGAGCATGATAGAGCTGCCAGAATGCAGCAGTGCAGTGTGAAGGGCGAAAAAGAAGAAGAAGTTGCTTAGGGAAATTCATGATTGATCTTCTGCTTTGTAAATCGCAGCTTAAGTAGGCAGCCAGGTCACTTAATTGGCCTTACTGCAGAATGCATGTTTTTGATCCATGATGTAATTTGCTGCATCTGATAAACAAAGTTTAAACATGACTACATTTAATGTATGCACGTGTTTTGCTGTATTTATTGTAAAAATATTGGATAAAGATTTATCTAAAGGTGTTCTGGATGTGGACAAATTCTTCAACTATCTGCCTGTGGCGTTTTCGAATGCAATGGCCAAATGCAATATTTGAATTCAACATGACTTGAGATTCTCAAATGTTCTTAATAAATTTCTACTGGTTTCTATTTTTCTATTCTGAAGAACGACTTTCCACAAGAATGAAGGCTTAATGAATCCAATTTGAATTTATAATGCTCCTAGGAATCGCCTCGGTGATAAGGAATTTTTGTATAAAGACTTTTATACTGATAAATTTACGATAATGATAAATTACTGTAAATCTTTTGAGCAAGAAAAACTTTCGGAGTAAAGATTTTTGCAAGATGGTATAATTTACGATTAAGAAGAGTTGGCGAATTCAAAAAGAGGGGAAAAGCTTGATACCGCTTGCTTTACAAACTAGCTCATTTGCTAACCGAGAAAAGAGGCCTACAGATAAAGTGCGTCGAAATACGATACGAAAGCACAAGATAAAGACGCCACCAAACTAAAATTTCTTGCGTCTGACAAAGCCGATAACAAAATGAAACATCATGACTGCCCTGGATGAATAATCTAATTGATATAGTCAATTACGGGGTACTAAATAAATAAGGACATATTTACAACCAGACGCAAATAAACACATTAATCGTAAATATGGCAATAGACTCGATCGCGCGGTAGCAAATGAGATATGCTAAACGAGGTCAGCAGAGACAGGAATCTTGTCTTTTCTTATTGTTCTTGTTAATATACAGACCATTAAAGCTCAATAGATCAACTGGTGTTCGCGGTTCCAAAGCCATATGCATGACCGAATCCCCGTAAACAGCCGGTCTCCGCATTACCTCAGTTGAGCTTTAAGGAACAATCACTATTGTTTTAAACAATAGGCAATAAACAAGCACTGCAGCCTGATTGGCTGGTTTCAATGGGCAGCAAGTGACGCAATGCTGCTCAGTGGGCAAACCAATAGTAATGCCACGTCAATTCAAAGCAACGAATTTCACGCATGCGTCAAAGCTGATCGTTGAGAGGCAGGACAGAAGTTAGATTTTGATTCCGTAGCGAGCAATAACCGGACTGCGTATGACTTTTTAAGGAAAGGAATACCTTGAAATTTGCATATAGGAATCGGAACATTCTCACAAGTGGTAAGATATCTTTATTCATTGACTTTTGTTTCTTTAAAAAAATTTGCATTTTAGCCAGAAGTTTATACAAATACTTGCGGCTGTCGCACCTGTTATAAAGTTATTTTCAATATTTGATAACTTAAACTTAACAACACAAAAAGGAAATAAAATGTAGATATCAGGCTGCATTTGATAAAAAATTAGGATTGGTGGATCGTTTTTGTGAAACTTTTTGGGCATACTGGAGTGGCAATATTTTCGGAATCTGATCGGATTCTTGGGAAGTGACCTCATCAATAGGGCAACCAGCAACGATTGATCAAGCAATAAATCGTCACATTTCATTCTGGCAACCGATGCATCAACGAGACGCTATCCATTGTAACAATTCAAAGGCAACCTTATTATCAACAATTGATTAAAGCCCAGAACAAGTTGGGCTGTTTCTTGACTAAAACACCAACTTTCAAACCTTGGTTGGATCCTTGTTAGAGGATATACATCAAAGTAAGGAAATATTTGTGGTACAGAATATTATTGAGTTTCTTGCAATGGTCTTAAAGAATGCTTGCAGCTTACATTGTCGGTTGGAGCTTTCTGTGTTTCCAAAGAAGATGCAAAAAAGCATACATGTGGAATATCGATGCAGTTTGGAAACAGAAACAAACAAATAATGTGGTTCTGATAAGGCATCAGCATTTGTGGCCTGAGGACACAGTATTGTCTTCGCATAGAGCTGACAGTTGGAAACTAAATTTATTTGAAGAACCGACATATATCTAGGGGTAGAAAAAGTGGCGATGAATATTCAATATGGCAAATCATGTTGGTTTTGTAGAAAAACTGGTTCTTTGTTAAACAAAGATACTGATGTCTGGCAGAGCAAAATTTTGATACAAAAACAACGCGATTTAATACCTCTAATGCAGTCATTTGCCAACTGATATTCAATTAAGCAAAAAAAGGTCTAAACAAGATTAAGGATTTCTATGTACCTTATCAGCAACATATCGGCGCGATGAAATGAAGACTTAAAAATTTGGAAAGTGAAATGAATTTTGTTTCTCTTGTAGATCATGATTTGGAGGGGAGGCCATCGACACCTCGTCGCGCTTTTTATAGCTGTTACATTAGGATACACGGTAAGTTGTAGTTCACATATTTTGAATGATTAACCGTACTGTACAATAGCAACATGGAGGTGAAAATATTCAGAAACACAAACAAAGGTTATATATGAAAATATATCAGATCTAAGATTTAAGTTTAACATTTGCTTGATCGAACAAAAAATTTTTAACCTAATCAGTGTGAAGGACGATTGTGCAGAAAAATTTTAATCTGAAAGCATTTCATGAACGCAGTCAATAGCAAGATTCCTTGTTCAAAGCAATCCTTTGTTCAATAAATCGGTAGGTAAAAATATTTTACGTTGATAAACAATTTGCCAGGAGGTTTTGGAAAAAGTCAAAGATCACCTCATTAATAATTAACATGAAAGCAAAAGTAAAAAAATAAGTAGAGTGATCGACGATTCTTGGAATAAGAAGACAAATGCACATTTGAATGATAAAACGAAACAAGGATTATTTTGAATACCAGCAACAAAAGTCGGCAAGCACTCTCATTTTGCAATTGTTTTCTATGTTTTAGTTCTCGCAACAAATTCTGCCAGACTGGCCTAAAGTTGGCGACAGGATAACACAACCATTCTTGGATCAGCTCATGGTCAGTCAGCTTTTGGAACAAAACCTTACTTTAGGATTCTTCTTGAAAGGATTAAATGGTCCACCAGGCCCACCAGGACCACCTGGACCTGCCGGTGAGCCAGGACCTCCTGGTCTTCCTGGAGCACCTGGAGCACCAGGTCATGTTGGAGAAGATGGTGCCCCTGGTCCAATGGGTCCACAAGGACCACCTGGTCCACCTGGACCTCCCGGATTCCCTGGAGAGAAAGGAGACCCCGGTGTTGCCGGTCTCCCTGGAAGCCCTGGTCTACCTGGTGCACCAGGTTTGCCTGGACCAGTTGGTCCCGCAGGATCACAAGGACCCGAACCTCTTATGCCGGTAAGTGGTTTCACAAGTTTTTTCCTCTGATATTTGCATGATGTCATGTTATGAACTGTACACCAAATGCCAAGAGATGGGCTAGCCATTCAACTGATCTTGCAATTTTTGTTTTGTTGTAGAACTTCACGGTTATTTGCGAGGGAGAGAAAGGATGGGTACAATGCAAACAATACGAAGTCATCAAGATCGTCAAAGCATTCTGGGGTCGTGATGACCACGCAACCTGTGGCAAGGTGCCAGCTGGCTTAACTACCGATCGTCTCTGCGAGACAAACGCAGAAAACACAAGGGTCAAGGTCGACGGTCAGTGCAAGCAGCAAATGGCCTGCGAAGTTGTCGCTTCCAATATCTTCTTTGATGACAACAGTTGTGGAAACGTGTATAAATATCTTAAAATTTGGTACGAGTGCAACCCTGACGAAGCGAACGCCGTGGACATCTTGAGAGAAGGCGGCAAGAGGAAAAAGAAGCGAGCAACAAAGGACAAACGATCATTCAGAGACAGCCGTTAAGCCAACACAGACATGACCTTCTACGAGGAATATTCTAAATATGGATAAAATTGCAATACTACAATTGGTTTTATACAAGAGATATGGAATGTGTATAGCGGCCAATTGATACCCATTTTAAAACAGTTTATCTTAAGCTGAAAGACTTTAATAAATGACCCTTTGCACCTATGATGTCATCTACGATTAACCGTGTGTAGATAGTATTTGGGCCTACGCAAACACTACGAATTTGAAGCAACTACAACGCGGCCTGTCCCCGTAATATCATTCTAAATATTATAAATAAATCTCAAGTAACATAATATAGGAGATATTTATTATCAAACATCTTCTAAGCTTTTATGATGCTACTTTTCCCAGCATTATTGTAAATTTTTTATCGTTTGATGTTGTGTTTGTAAAGCGGCTATCTAGTCTCGCAAAGTACTCCACACGACCAGAGAGAAGGCCAAATATATATATTATTTTATCCTTTCAAAACAAAATATAGCTGTAATCTATTCATTTTTTAATTATTTCAAAATTATTGAAAATAAATGGCTTTAGAATATATTGGCATTCTTTTTGGTCTATGTGGAGTATTGCTAAAATTGGTGTACAAACTTAGATTCTTCCAGTTAAGTTTATGTTTTTATAAAGGTCAAACTGGACAGACGTTGAATTGTCAAGTTAACATTGGTTGTATAGGCAGATGTAACTCTGGATAGAGGCCGTTATGTTCGATAGGACAACCTGGATCATAAACTCAAGATTACTCAACGTATGCGTTTAATTTCATAGTCGTCATTTTTGTGTGTTTCCGTAGCTTTGTCGATATCATAATATATGAATTTTACACAACAAGCTCAGGTTTTCTGTCTTAATCTCCAAAGAAGCACGAGAGAGAGTTTGAAAAAGCAGAAGTGCGTTGAAGTGAACCGTACGTTTATATCCAGCGTATAGGAGATCATCCAACTTAAGGCATTACTGGAGCTAAAATTGACTCACAGTTTTGTTTGCAATAACAGGCACTTCAGACGAGCAGGCTATGAAAGGTTTTATATTATTGTGGTGTTAACGTAGTGAAAATAACGACAAAAGAACGAAACACAACAGCTAAAGATTTAGTTAATTAAAACGAAGGGAAAGTTCCGGATACACTGACAAATTAGCTAGTATACTTTGTTTGACAGTTTTTGGACTTACATAGAGGGTATCGAAAATAAACTAAATTAAGAAAAAACTAGAAAAAAGTTCAAAGAGTGAAATGTACAAAATATTGCACAATGCAATTATTAATAGATTGTCAAGATTGGAAGAATTACAAAAAAAATTGCGCTTGTTAAATTGAGAGCCTGCAAGCAGGCTAGAAAGCATCGCACCTACAGTGTAAAAGACGTCTTGGTTAGCTAACAAAACACAACAGCAATGTAACAGAAAGAAATCTGATCAATATTGTTTTCAACAAAATTGAAAATTTAAGTTTTTGTAGTTTTTATACATAATGATTTTAAAAATTCGTATCGAGAATGATTACTGATCTAAAAATAAAATTGAAGAAGAAGAAGAAAGTTTCAAATGAAAGCCAACACAGAAGCCTTGCTTCTTATCAAAATTGAAACAAATCAACAAAATGTTTGTACTTTTTAAGAGAAGCAGAGGTGTTGTGCTTCGATGCTAAAATACGGGGTTGAATTTGCATCTTTTTAAGTGTCAACAACGATAGTTCAAAAGCTGTTATGAAACACGAGACCAAGTTCAGTGCTGTAACAGAAAACGGATGTCCAAAATCTCTAAAAAGATTCTGAAAAAATATACATAAATTTGATGAAACATTTTTTAAATAATACTTAACAAGATACCAAGTAATGGTGCAGTTTATTAGCTTCTAGTACTCTTTTAAAATCGTTATAAAAAATTTCCTAGCGTCAGAAAAAACTGGAAAATTGCTATAAAATACATTTAGCTTTGCCCCACTCTATAATGTCTTAGATACTGGAGCAAAAGATCTCTTGTTCAAAAAGTTTAAAATCGTAATTTACCCAGTCTCTGCAAAAAATGGTTTATCGCTGTGTTCAAAACTTAAGACATACAAAAACAATGACGAAACTCCAATCCTGTAGGAATAAGTAAGATCTTCGAAACTGGAAGCTTTCTGAGTTATTTCATCGAAAATATTTCTATCATATGGCCAATATCCCTGGAATACCTAATTTTTCATTTAAGGTTTTTTGAGGTTGATAAGGATCATTTACAGCTTTGCTTCCATACTCTAAACTACTTTAACAATTTGTGCTTCTAGTCAAATGGCCTCTAAGCTCATTGTCAGCTCCTCTGCTTTATGCAATCATAATTAAATTTTGGATTGCTGCAAACTGTAAAGGTTTTCGAATAAGGAAATTTGTGCGCAAACAGCTTCATATTGTTTAAACAATTCTATAATGTTTCTATTGCAAATTGCACGGCCATTTCTGTAATATTGGCATTCAAAATGAATTCGTGCAAGAAACAATTATTCTATATGCATTTATTGCAAATGTTTATAATTCTTAAACAATAAAATAATTGTGCAAGAAGAGACTCAGAGGCTCCGTAATAAGATCAATCGTTTCAAATAAAACTTGTTTTCGATGTCACTTCACAAAAGTACAAAAAAACATACAAAAAAATTCCTTTCTATTTATTTCTAATGTTTCCAAGTAATTTTTGTTTGCCACTTAAACATATTTTAAATAAAGCATTGATAGGTTAGTTTTTATGAAAAAAGCCTGAGTAAAATTTGGGTATCTATAACATATTGGTAGATAAAATTTTCTAGCATTGGCAAAATAAACCTGAAAACTACAACTAGGAATTTCACGAATTTTTTACTGTGAATAACCTCGTTATAAAACCGCCAGTGAATGCAACAAGAAGAGGCTATTAAAAATATTTTCAAGGTTTCGCCTGGACTTCTTCTCAGGCATTGCACACTTTTGGCAAATGATTGATATAGTAAACAAACAAAGAGACAGCTTTTTTGACAGATCTAGGGCAAAATAAAATAAAAAAAAGGCCACCAGAAACAGCGTCTACATTTTAACTCTGAGCTAAGAACCGTAAACTCAACCACTGCACAAATACAATACCACGTGACATCATTCTATTGTTCTTTTGTTATGGGTCAATTAGTTCTGTTCAGAGAGTCACTTTAGGATCAAGGTTCTGAATCAACATCTCTTACTGCTTGTAAAACTTTTCTTTTGATGTAGAAATAATAAAAATTATAAATACAAAGAATTGTGATAATTTGCAGGATTAGCAGTGCAAGAAAGGTAAGTTCAAACTGTTTTTAGATTGCAAAAATGTTAAAGTTTTGCGTGCAAATCTTTTTCGAAACACTGCCGAAGTATGTTCATTCAAGAAAAACCCACAGATGCAAAAGGTCACAACATCATGAAAAATATAACATCTATAAAAATGCATTTAAGAACTTCCTACAAGACTTTATCGGGTAATTTTGGTAGCTTTGACAAGATAACAGACCGGTTCAAAAAGCCGTTGGAATATCCAAAAGCGTTTGAGAACCGTTAGAGCAAAACTTTCCATCTAGCAACATAATTCCTAGTGGATTTATATTCTTAAGCAGAATTGCACGACTCAATAATATTATACGGCCTAAGGTTGTGATTTAGAGGGCTTAGTCTTCATAGAAGCTCAAAATCTAGCAAAGAAATATTTGCAATAGCAAATCGAATGCAAGAAGTGGCATGTTGATAATGGTGAAACTGTTCTAGATCAAGGAATCAAGGAAATCAACTACTTTATAATTTTCGTTGTTAATTTGATATACTAGATTGAGTTTCTCATATGCATTATTTTGCCTAACTACTATATCTGGATTGCGGCATAATTAGGATTGGCTTGAGCCAGTCCTTGGTAACACATGGCTAGGCAGAGCAACTCGCCACAGATACACATCGTATGCATGAATGGGTTCTCTTCGGCTGCAGTAAGAATTTGTAATGAATGCTAGATCGCGCTGCAAATGTTAATAAAGGAAATATAGCCGCCGGTACAATATGGAACTTGAATTGTGAAGATGCTCGACTGACCTTTTAGGCCTAAATCGCTGATATCCCGGTGAGTTTTGGGACTGCCAATTTAAGATGGACTTGATATATCAAACTGGTAGAAAAACCCTTTTGCGTCCTCCATGAGCCATTAGGCCTATCATTCACGAAATTCTATTGAAGATATTTGAAAATTCCACGTAGAAAAGGACAATATTTTATAATCAGCCAGATATGTGACCTGGAAAATCTTTAAGCTTCCAGTGAGATCGTAGTTTCGTTAACTTCTATGTTTGTCTTCACTCTTTTTTGATATATCTTCATTATTTTCTATTTTCAGATCATGAAGAGTTTATTGCAGACTTCAATTCTTTACTTGGTTATAACAATAACCTCGCATACGGTATGAGCATTCCATTTATATTTCATTTCATTTGAGTTCTTAAATTTCACAGCATAGCTAAAAATGATGGGGGCTCAGTGGGTTGATACCCTTGTAGGTGCCAAAGAATTAATTCCGTTTTACTTTCTGTCTTAAGCATTTGAAATTCGTTTTGCGAGTGCCTCTTCGCTCTTTTCATAGCACTATATCGCTCGAGGGAGGGTTCTAGAAAAAAAAGGGGCAATTTCATGCCTAAACCAAAGTCAATCTATTAAATGGCTAGAATACACATAGGCTATCGGGAAAATTTGGAGAAGGGTAAGCCAAATTCGACTGCGCTTCTGCTCATTGTCATATTACTAAGAACGGTCTTTCTTGAGTGCTCTTTCAGAGAAAATCTTGCAGCTCTTGTCGCAATCTTTGGGCTTTAGGTTTCCGTGCTTTATATTCAGCATTCTGTTGCAGTTTGCTTCACCTATTGGAGATATTCGGCGGTCAAAGCGCGCACTTTGTGCAGAAAGCGACGAACGATGCATCGAAGATGAGTATTGGAAGGAGGTATTGCCTCTTGGGTTCTTCGTCAACAGCAATGCCGTTGGCGGTGGTGGCGGAGCAGCCACTGGATCTAAGCGTGCAATGCCTGGACCATTATACGCTGGCAGTGGTAGTGGTCACATGATCCAGAGGTCAGACATCCCTGGCCAAAAGGCCCAGAATGCACAGGCTTCAGAACAAACTGTCAAGACGAGTGCTGCCATCGTCAAGAATGACGTCAGTCCTCCTGCGCCCGCACCAGCCCCCGTGGATACTCCTGCACCGCAACCCACAACGGAAAAAGACGGCAACAAGGTAGGTTTTTTTGCGTAACAACAACTTGTTCTCTAAATTAGTGCTTATAGGCATACCAAATGCCAGAAAAACCTCTTAAGAGTGCTGCCTAAATTATTGGTAAAAAGAAATGGAACAGTCTTCTTGAAAGGCCAAAGCTGTTATAATGTTGAAAAAAGACCAAGATTAGCAGTCATTAGCTGTTTTATAAAGCTAACATACAGGTTTTGTGTTCGTGCTACTTAGATATTCGAAGATACAAATTATGATCATGATAAAAAATTATTGACTTGGATATGTTTCAGGGATAGCCCTTCTTTTGTAATAATGAAATAGCATGAACTGGTGGTTCTGTTATTTAGGGTCCTATATGTAATATTTTAATGCCTTTAAGTATAAAGGAAGGTAAGTGACATTTTAAGCTGTTTGTGAGAGATGAAAAACTGTCATGTGGCTATAACAAAATGATTGGTTCCTCGTTATAAATACTTCTTTTTACAGCGAAAGGTCGTTTTCTGCCAAGAAGAGAAGGAATGGCTGCAGTGCCCCATGTACCGTGTCATCAAAATCAACAAAGCATTCTGGGGACGTAAAGATCACACGTCATGCAGTGACAAAGCGGTAACGAGAACGCTGAAAACTGAAAAGCTGTGCGCTCAAGACGAAGCAAACACGATGAAGAAAGTTGAGACCATGTGCAACGACGAAGAGGCCTGTGAACTGGTTGCTTCAGAGACCTTCTTCGACAGAGCTGATTGTCCTGATGTTTACAAATACGTTGAATTAGAGTACGAATGTCTACACAGGGAAATGAGGATTAAGGAAACTGGCTCATCGTGAAAAAGTAGTAGGAAAGTTGGATGATTAAGAAATACTCCTAAATACTAGATATGTTTTATGGGACATGGCAAAATTAGTCTTGACCCAGCGAAAATGCGCAATTTTTAACAAAATGTTGGACCAATTTTTTATTAACAAATATCAACGTGAGAGCCAGAATTTTTCATTTAAAAAAAAGGTGAAAATGCTTACGAGTCGTTTTGTGTGTGAAAAAAATGAAATTGCGATCACAGTTAAAGAAATAAGACGACACACATTGATGTGAAAATTATACATGATAAAATATGAAATCTCAGCTATTCTCTTTTCAAGCTATATATTAGCAAGATGTAAAATACTTCTCTTCAGTGTTGTTATGTAATTTAGAATTTACTTATATTTTCTGTATAAGACCTTTGGACGATCCGGTTTTTCTTATATCCTGAATAAAATTTTCTCTGTTTTTAATGTGAGGTTTGTAATGTGAAGTCATAAAACAAGGGTGCGAATCTATCAGTTTCGATTTAAACGAAATAGATACTTCACCGTGTGTAACAATTTTAGCCTCGTTACATGAAGTACCTGTTTTGGTTATTAAAGAGATAAGTTGTAAAATAAAGAATCTTGTTTTTATAAAGATTGTCTGATTAGAAGAAATTATAAACAGCTTGTCTTATTTTCTCGCTTCCTGGACAAAAAACCAATATTCCAAAGAAAGCTTTGGTTACAAAACCAGAAAGTATGGAAAAAGTTTTATTTTCTGTACATGACAATTGTGTAACTGGAATTATTGCTCGAAGCACCCCAGTATCCTTGACAGAAAATTTGAAGAAAACAAACTTTTTTATTTACCAGAGATAACAAGACTACTATTTTAGGGAAAGAGGACCAGGACACCGCTTGAAAGGCACTGCTTCTCAGTGTCCTAGAAACTATTATCGGAAGATAGGTAATAGAAAAAAGAAGCCTTTTGGGGTCTCGTTAGCAAGCGTTACCTTTAAGGATGTAGTTCACACTTTTGAAAAAGCATTTTCAAAAAATTTTCAGTTTTCATTTTTTTGTTTCATTCTACGCCAAAATTATCGTAGAATTCGGTAGAAATAGTTATTTTGACAACCACATTGAGGTTTAGACACAATTAACTTGTTTTTCGACAGTAGTCGGAAGTTTATTCCTTAGCAACGACTTTTTAGCGTTGCTAAGGAGCTCATTTTTGTGTCTTTTTGTAAGAAATTACCCCCAAGCCTGCAGGCTTTCCCTGTGGAATGATAAACATCTTATGAACACCCTGTGGTAGCCTCTTTTGCGATCAGAGGCTGAGAAACACGCCAAATTCGCACACTTTACAGTCACTTAGATGTTGGATTGCGAAACGGAATACAAATTTATTCTGATAATGCCTTTATTGAATCGATATTATAAGTAAAACATGCCACCGAATAAAAGAAGGGCTCTAGCAAGTAGAGTTAAGAGGAAAAGGAGGTTTTTTGGCATTCGCAAGCAGGATATTGCTAGTAGACTTGAATCTGACACTCGGCCTAGGCCTAGTGACGATATGGAGCCCAGTTCGTCTTTCACACCAATGAGCTCAGTTCAATCTAGGACAGCACAAAAATTGTTGAATTCGTCGTTTGAAGAACTAAATGATAGTATGAGGGTGCTTACAAGAAGATCATCGAAGAAAATGGGCCTTTCTAAGCAAAAGCAAATTGAACAAGCTGATGGTTTCACTATTATTGATCTGTCTCTGCTCCAAGAAGCTTTGCAATCCTCTACCAATTGTAGAGCTTGTAAAAGATCAGATTCTCAGTTGAAGATCTTGAAGGATAGCAGAAAGAAGCATGAGCTTGCTGAGACATTGATCATTAAGTGTTCTTGTTGCTCAGCAGAGACAATCTTCCACACCAGCAAAAAGTTAGACAAAGGTAAATTCGAAGTAAACACAAGATCAGTCATGGCATGCAATTCTTTGAAAGGTGGACGAAAAATTCTTTCAAATTTTTGTGGAATGATGAATTTACCTTCACCACTAACTAGTGCTTCCTATGCAAGGCAGTTGAAGTCTTCTGCCAAAATTTCAAGAGAAGTTGCTGAAAAACAGATGAAGGATGCAGCAAATCGTCTCAAGAAAAGTGTTTTGGAACAGAATCCCAATGCCTATCTAGATGACATGGATGATACTATTTCTGTTGCTGTCAGTGTTGATGGAACATGGCAAAAACGAGGATACTCTTCTAAGTATGGAGTCGTTGTCGTGGTTCTAATGGAAACTGGCGAGGTTGTCGATTTTGAAGTATTGTCAATGCATTGCCATGAATGCAGAAAACATCAACATGAAAATAAAGATAGTGAAGCTTTTAAAAGATGGAAAGCAAAACACGATGCCTCTTGTCAAATAAATTATGAAGGTTCATCTGGTGGTATGGAAGGAATTGGTGCAGCCAGAATTTTCCTAAGATCAATTGAAGGAAAGGGATTAAAATATACAACTTTTATTGGAGATGGTGACAGTGACACCTTCAAGGTTGTGAGTAAGGAATTGGAAAGAGCTTATGGAAGCAGGTATCAGGTTGTAAAGGAGGAATGCATAGGACATATACAGAAGCGTATGGGAAATGCCCTAAGAACACTTCTGAAAGAAATGAAAGGTAAAAAGATGTTAGATGGGAAAACAATAGGTGGTAAAGGGAGATTGACAAAAGAAAGAATTGACAGTTTCCAAAGGTATTTTGGTAATTCCATAAGAGCCAACAGAGGTAACCTGGTTCAGATGCAGAATGATGTTTGGGCAATTTTTCACCATTCAGTCATGCCAGCAACAGCATCTACCCTTAATGATCAGCACAAATTTTGCCCTAAAGGCAAAGACTCTTGGTGCAAATTTAATGCAGAGCTAATTACTGGCAAGAAGAGTTATGATGGAAGCAAAAGATTACCAAGCTCCTTTTTTGACATTTTAGAGCCTATCTTCAAAAGATTGACATCAAAGGATTTGCTTGAGAGATGCCTGAAAGGTGTAACGCAAAATGCAAATGAGAGTCTAAACCATATGATCTGGGAAAGGTGTCCCAAAGCAACCTTCTGTAGCAAAGTTAGAATAGAGTCTGCAGTATCAGAAGCAGTTTGCTGTTTTAACACTGGTGCTGGATCAAGGGCACTAATGTTAAAAGAAGCTGGAATTGAGGATATTGGAGAGGAATCTTTGAAGTCTCTTCAGAAGGAAGACCACATTCGCCAAATTTCTGCAGCACAGAAAGTCACTTCAAAGTATAAAAGTTGGCGAATAAGTAGAAAAAGGACCAAAACTAACATGAAAAGATCTGAAAAAGAACATTATGAACCTGGGGCCTTTGACAGTAGAGGTGAAAAGCCAATCTCAACTAAAAGAAGAAAGAGAAATCAGTACTCTGATTGCAACAAACAAAATAAAGTTGACCAATCTGTTTCTGATGACGTAATAACAGACATCCCAATAACATTTGCAGTTCCTTTGGAGAATATAGTGAACATTTGAAAACTTATTAGCAAAATAAGTATATTAAAACCAGAGGTCAGACATCCCTGGCCAAAAGGCCCAGAATGCACAGGCTTCAGAACAAACTGTCAAGACGAGTGCTGCCATCGTCAAGAATGACGTCAGTCCTCCTGCGCCCGCACCAGCCCCCGTGGATACTCCTGCACCGCAACCCACAACGGAAAAAGACGGCAACAAGGTAGGTTTTTTTGCGTAACAACAACTTGTTCTCTAAATTAGTGCTTATAGGCATACCAAATGCCAGAAAAACCTCTTAAGAGTGCTGCCTAAATTATTGGTAAAAAGAAATGGAACAGTCTTCTTGAAAGGCCAAAGCTGTTATAATGTTGAAAAAAGACCAAGATTAGCAGTCATTAGCTGTTTTATAAAGCTAACATACAGGTTTTGTGTTCGTGCTACTTAGATATTCGAAGATACAAATTATGATCATGATAAAAAATTATTGACTTGGATATGTTTCAGGGATAGCCCTTCTTTTGTAATAATGAAATAGCATGAACTGGTGGTTCTGTTATTTAGGGTCCTATATGTAATATTTTAATGCCTTTAAGTATAAAGGAAGGTAAGTGACATTTTAAGCTGTTTGTGAGAGATGAAAAACTGTCATGTGGCTATAACAAAATGATTGGTTCCTCGTTATAAATACTTCTTTTTACAGCGAAAGGTCGTTTTCTGCCAAGAAGAGAAGGAATGGCTGCAGTGCCCCATGTACCGTGTCATCAAAATCAACAAAGCATTCTGGGGACGTAAAGATCACACGTCATGCAGTGACAAAGCGGTAACGAGAACGCTGAAAACTGAAAAGCTGTGCGCTCAAGACGAAGCAAACACGATGAAGAAAGTTGAGACCATGTGCAACGACGAAGAGGCCTGTGAACTGGTTGCTTCAGAGACCTTCTTCGACAGAGCTGATTGTCCTGATGTTTACAAATACGTTGAATTAGAGTACGAATGTCTACACAGGGAAATGAGGATTAAGGAAACTGGCTCATCGTGAAAAAGTAGTAGGAAAGTTGGATGATTAAGAAATACTCCTAAATACTAGATATGTTTTATGGGACATGGCAAAATTAGTCTTGACCCAGCGAAAATGCGCAATTTTTAACAAAATGTTGGACCAATTTTTTATTAACAAATATCAACGTGAGAGCCAGAATTTTTCATTTAAAAAAAAGGTGAAAATGCTTACGAGTCGTTTTGTGTGTGAAAAAAATGAAATTGCGATCACAGTTAAAGAAATAAGACGACACACATTGATGTGAAAATTATACATGATAAAATATGAAATCTCAGCTATTCTCTTTTCAAGCTATATATTAGCAAGATGTAAAATACTTCTCTTCAGTGTTGTTATGTAATTTAGAATTTACTTATATTTTCTGTATAAGACCTTTGGACGATCCGGTTTTTCTTATATCCTGAATAAAATTTTCTCTGTTTTTAATGTGAGGTTTGTAATGTGAAGTCATAAAACAAGGGTGCGAATCTATCAGTTTCGATTTAAACGAAATAGATACTTCACCGTGTGTAACAATTTTAGCCTCGTTACATGAAGTACCTGTTTTGGTTATTAAAGAGATAAGTTGTAAAATAAAGAATCTTGTTTTTATAAAGATTGTCTGATTAGAAGAAATTATAAACAGCTTGTCTTATTTTCTCGCTTCCTGGACAAAAAACCAATATTCCAAAGAAAGCTTTGGTTACAAAACCAGAAAGTATGGAAAAAGTTTTATTTTCTGTACATGACAATTGTGTAACTGGAATTATTGCTCGAAGCACCCCAGTATCCTTGACAGAAAATTTGAAGAAAACAAACTTTTTTATTTACCAGAGATAACAAGACTACTATTTTAGGGAAAGAGGACCAGGACACCGCTTGAAAGGCACTGCTTCTCAGTGTCCTAGAAACTATTATCGGAAGATAGGTAATAGAAAAAAGAAGCCTTTTGGGGTCTCGTTAGCAAGCGTTACCTTTAAGGATGTAGTTCACACTTTTGAAAAAGCATTTTCAAAAAATTTTCAGTTTTCATTTTTTTGTTTCATTCTACGCCAAAATTATCGTAGAATTCGGTAGAAATAGTTATTTTGACAACCACATTGAGGTTTAGACACAATTAACTTGTTTTTCGACAGTAGTCGGAAGTTTATTCCTTAGCAACGACTTTTTAGCGTTGCTAAGGAGCTCATTTTTGTGTCTTTTTGTAAGAAATTACCCCCAAGCCTGCAGGCTTTCCCTGTGGAATGATAAACATCTTATGAACACCCTGTGGTAGCCTCTTTTGCGATCAGAGGCTGAGAAACACGCCAAATTCGCACACTTTACAGTCACTTAGATGTTGGATTGCGAAACGGAATACAAATTTATTCTGATAATGCCTTTATTGAATCGATATTATAAGTAAAACATGCCATCGAATAAAAGAAGGGCTCTAGCAAGTAGAGTTAAGAGGAAAAGGAGGTTTTTTGGCATTCGCAAGCAGGATATTGCTAGTAGACTTGAATCTGACACTCGGCCTAGGCCTAGTGACGATATGGAGCCCAGTTCGTCTTTCACACCAATGAGCTCAGTTCAATCTAGGACAGCACAAAAATTGTTGAATTCGTCGTTTGAAGAACTAAATGATAGTATGAGGGTGCTTACAAGAAGATCATCGAAGAAAATGGGCCTTTCTAAGCAAAAGCAAATTGAACAAGCTGATGGTTTCACTATTATTGATCTGTCTCTGCTCCAAGAAGCTTTGCAATCCTCTACCAATTGTAGAGCTTGTAAAAGATCAGATTCTCAGTTGAAGATCTTGAAGGATAGCAGAAAGAAGCATGAGCTTGCTGAGACATTGATCATTAAGTGTTCTTGTTGCTCAGCAGAGACAATCTTCCACACCAGCAAAAAGTTAGACAAAGGTAAATTCGAAGTAAACACAAGATCAGTCATGGCATGCAATTCTTTGAAAGGTGGACGCAAAATTCTTTCAAATTTTTGTGGAATGATGAATTTACCTTCACCACTAACTAGTGCTTCCTATGCAAGGCAGTTGAAGTCTTCTGCCAAAATTTCAAGAGAAGTTGCTGAAAAACAGATGAAGGATGCAGCAAATCGTCTTAAGAAAAGTGTTTTGGAACAGAATCCCAATGCCTATCTAGATGATATGGATAATACTATTTCTGTTGCTGTCAGTGTTGATGGAACATGGCAAAAACGAGGATACTCTTCTAAGTATGGAGTCGTTGTCGTGGTTCTAATGGAAACTGGCGAGGTTGTCGATTTTGAAGTATTGTCAATGCATTGCCATGAATGCAGAAAACATCAACATGAAAATAAAGATAGTGAAGCTTTTAAAAGATGGAAAGCAAAACACGATGCCTCTTGTCAAATAAATTATGAAGGTTCATCTGGTGGTATGGAAGGAATTGGTGCAGCCAGAATTTTCCTAAGATCAATTGAAGGAAAGGGATTAAAATATACAACTTTTATTGGAGATGGTGACAGTGACACCTTCAAGGTTGTGAGTAAGGAATTGGAAAGAGCTTATGGAAGCAGGTATCAGGTTGTAAAGGAGGAATGCATAGGACATATACAGAAGCGTATGGGAAATGCCCTAAGAACACTTCTGAAAGAAATGAAAGGTAAAAAGATGTTAGATGGGAAAACAATAGGTGGTAAAGGGAGATTGACAAAAGAAAGAATTGACAGTTTCCAAAGGTATTTTGGTAATTCCATAAGAGCCAACAGAGGTAACCTGGCTCAGATGCAGAATGATGTTTGGGCAATTTTTCACCATTCAGTCATGCCAGCAACAGCATCTACCCTTAATGATCAGCACAAATTTTGCCCTAAAGGCAAAGACTCTTGGTGCAAATTTAATGCAGAGCTAATTACTGGCAAGAAGAGTTATGATGGAAGCAAAAGATTACAAAGCTCCTTTTTTGACATTTTAGAGCCTATCTTCAAAAGATTGACATCAAAGGATTTGCTTGAGAGATGCCTGAAAGGTGTAACGCAAAATGCAAATGAGAGTCTAAACCATATGATCTGGGAAAGGTGTCCCAAAGCAACCTTCTGTAGCAAAGTTAGAATAGAGTCTGCAGTATCAGAAGCAGTTTGCTGTTTTAACACTGGTGCTGGATCAAGGGCACTAATGTTAAAAGAAGCTGGAATTGAGGATATTGGAGAGGAATCTTTGAAGTCTCTTCAGAAGGAAGACCACATTCGCCAAATTTCTGCAGCACAGAAAGTCACTTCAAAGTATTAAAGTTGGCGAATAAGTAGAAAAAGGACCAAAACTAACATGAAAAGATCTGAAAAAGAACATTATGAACCTGGGGCCTTTGACAGTAGAGGTGAAAAGCCAATCTCAACTAAAAGAAGAAAGAGAAATCAGTACTCTGATTGCAACAAACAAAATAAAGTTGACCAATCTGTTTCTGATGACGTAATAACAGACATCCCAATAACATTTGCAGTTCCTTTGGAGAATATAGTGAACATTTGAAAACTTATTAGCAAAATAAGTATATTAAAATAATGCTTAGTCTTTTTTAAGCCAAACTGGGGGTAAATATGAAGTTATGGCCCCAGATAGATCCAAGAATATTGAAAAAAGATAGCCAAAACTTTAAAGTCAATTTTCTCAAAAACACTGTTTTTGGGAATCATGAAATTGGGCAGGAGATAACTTTTACATATGATAAGCAATCTTCTTGAAATTTTCACAGTCTGTAGCAAATAATATGAAAAGTGGAATGAATAGAGGAATTTTTCAAATTTCAAATATGGTAGCCGTTACCATGGAAACATGGTTTTTTGCCATTATTTCCTTTTTAAGTGAAAATTTTCAGGAATTGTCTATTCATTGCACACATGCACTCAAGTGGAATACACAGTAAAAATTTGAGCTGAATAGGAGATTCCATTAAAAAGTTATCGACTGCCCAAGAAAAAAAGAGCGCGTCGTTAAAATTTGCATTAATTAGCATAATTAATATTTTTCTTAAAAAAATCTTAATTTTCAATTGCATCATATCTTCAACTTTCACTCTTGAAAAGTTGAATGTGTTACATGAAGGAACCTTTTATTTATGTCCATATGTGTCTGCCTCAGTGCAAGTTTTTAAAAGTGTGAATTACTACCTTAAGGCGTTTTAGAATGCAGTACCCCATTATGAGGTATGTCAGCTTGAGTCGGAGGAAAATTTCTCTTTGGATAACATAAAATAGCGCGAGGATGGCTCAGTGACTGGGTCGCTGACTACAGACCGATGGGTCCGTTGTTCGAGTCCCAGGCATGACCAAATTTTAACTTAGAGAAAAGAGAGTCACCAGGTCTCTGTATTTGCAGGCGTAGGAATCACGAGGTGTGGTCACATCGAGAGGAAGGACCAAGAATTGATCGATAAGCATAGCTGTTCAGTGTCAAAAACTACCTTCGGAAACAATAAAATAAATAAAATAAAATAAAATAAAATAAAATAAAATAAAATAAAATAAAATAAAATAAAATAAAATAAAATAAAATAAAATAAAATAAAATAAAATAAATAAATAAAATACAATACAATACAATACAATACAATACAATACAATACAATACAATATAATACAATACAATACAATACAATATAATACAATATAATATAATACAATACAATACAATATAAATTCAGAATCTTAAACGCATTATAACTATTTACTTATTCAGTTACTGTATGTTTTGATTGTTTCTTGTAGAATTTACATCTATAAGTCAAGAGCCACAACTTGCCTCTTTCATACCACCTCTTCGTCCCTAATACCAAAGTTTGTTTTGAGAAACGCCTTCCTTAGGGATTTCTCATCGTAGAGCCAACCCTTATACCCTCGTATGAGAATACTTGATGCTTTCACTACCTAGCAGTGTGGTAGGATGGCAGACTTAAAGTTGTCATCTCACGAAGGATAAATATTCATTGTGAGATCTTGTACAAACAATATAAAAACAGCCAAGTCATTACGGTCTTTCTACGAATCTGGGGTTCTTTATAAGAAAAGACGAATACTTGGATGGATGGTGGGTGGACTGGATGAGGCTGTTACTGATCTTAGTCGTTTTTACAAAACATAGGGGCATTTAGATCCCAAGAGGGGTGCCATTGGCAGAAAAGACACACGAAATTAAAGTCCCAGATGATAAATTGTGTGCTAAGAATGTTCTATCGGCGGATGCTAGATCTTGGATTGCATGATACAAATTCTTATATCTTCCCTTGAGAAAAAAACTTTTGGCCTCAACAGCCTAGCTAAATATGCATGCTTACAAAGAAATATTCTTTAAAAATAGCAATTTATTGAATAGAGTTGAGGAGAAAAAAGATACAACGTCAAAGAAAAGAAGATTTCAATTTGTTTCCACTTCTATGCTGGGACCATGGATCTATGTATCGTTGAACAGATGGTGCACAATTGCAAGCTTTCCAAACCATGACGGGTTTTAGGCGCTTCTTCATTCGCGTAATCGCAGTCAATGGAGCGGGTAGACAGGCCTTTTGCGGCACCAAGGCGTGTGATCACATGATTCGGTCATTTCATAATTGTAAACAACCTCGTATTGACAACAGCGATCATCTGCCTTGCTCGCGGCGAAACACGAATTTCAGATGGAAAGTTGGCTGCATCGCAGAGCTTGAACAACAAACAGCAAAGGTAGCCTTAATTCTATCAATTAAAGGAGAAAGGAAATTGGATACATGAAGAGAATTCTTACCAACATCGTAGTGGAAAAGCGATAAAAGAAACAATATGCCTAAAGCTGCTTTACTGTTAGTGATAGCATTCATAACTAGTGTATTGGGTCACCAAAAGAAGTTGACAAACTGGGTGAAAATGCCAGAGTCAATCGGTTTAGCTTGCGAAGGAGAGTATGTTGATATAAACTGTCCTAATTACGAAGGAATCAGAATTGTAGACGCGTTCTGGGGCCGAGATGACGTCACGACATGCCAACCGGGGCAGCCATTGGCAACGAAGAGTTATAAGGACATGTGCAAGCCAGTTCAAAAAGATTATGCTAAACTGAAGATCAAACAAATGTGCCACGGGATTGAGTCTTGCAGGATTCCCGCAACGACGGTATTCTTTGATACCGAGCTTTGCCCCAATGTTTTGAAATACCTACGAGTGCTTTATGAATGCAGGCATATGACTGGAATGAAAAAATCATTGATTGAGAGACTACGCGGAAAAGATTCGAAGGCTAGTTAGACTTTGAATATTTGTTGGACTGTGGTTCTCGAATGGTGATGGTTTACTTGGCAAGGAAGATTGAAGCCTCCTAGGAGTTTCCAGATATGACCTACGAGTAGAGATTTATACAAAAGAAGGTTTTACGGACTGTCCATTTGAGTTAAACATTTAACAATAGGCATATCTGCAACGAAAACATCACTTGTTTACAACAGACTCTTTAGGGGTCTTTGGTAATATTCAGGAATACGTCCCTATGCATGGAATATGTTAATAAAAGAAGTTCTAAGGGTACATCTCTTAAAAGTCTTTAATATACGACAATTGCTTCCAGATAACGTACACCCTGGCTTCCCAAGCCAACGGAATGATTTTAGACTAAGATTGACTAAGATGTTATATTCTCTGAGCACGAACACATTATTAGCAAACCAAAACAATCTAGTCATTCTAGAACCCAGCCCTTATTTATTGGTATCTTCTATGAATGCCTTAAGCATACTAATTCAATTCAGATAATTGAAATAGACCTTAGGTATTAGGTCAATCACTTAAAGTAAGTATGCTATAAAAATGAAGCATTACAAAAAGGGTCTTCTTCACGAAAATATTTAATTTCTACATAATATTAACAAGATAACTTTTCCTAAAAAACGTGACAGCCACACAGCCCATTTTAGTGACTTTGCAATATAACTGCAATTATGCATCCATGCATACATTATAATAATTAATATTATAAGAAATATTAGAAATTATATTATAAAAATGGAAATTGCAATTTCCAAAATTTATGGTATTGTAAGAAACTAAAAATACCGAATAAGATTGGTCATTTAATATTTCTTTAGACATCTACTAAACTTGCGTCTTATCTGAATGAGCCGTGGTTGAATTTACTTTTAAAGTACTGGCTATATCTTAAATAGATTCATCAAGTTTAAAGATGACAAAGATTTGTCAATCTGAATTATTATTTTGGTAACAGTAAAAATTAAAAACCGATATGAAGCAACGTTTAACAACATTTACTATTTCAAATAAAAATCAAATTTTAAAAAAAGATAGAAATACTCTTTCAAAAATAAATACTTTCAGTCGTTATTGAATGAAAGAAAGACTTGACATCTTTATTATTTTGCTTGCAACCTTAACAAAAAAGTTTAAACAGCGTAATTCAAACTATACAACTAACTTACTCTAGAAGCTAAATAATATATACAACATGTGTTAAAAAATAAATCCAGTTTACAGGTTAATAATACCAATGGATAACGACATTTCTTGACAGCAAGTAAAACTGAAAAATAATTAACAATTAAAAAAGCTAATTAGCTTGATTTTTATCAACAACTTTATTTGTTTATGTTACGAAAACTTGTGTCAAAGGTTAGAACACAGGGTAGCAGGATAGTGCGGCCTATTTAAAATGTTTATTGCCAAGTCTGACCTAAACTTTTACAAGACGCAAATCTCGATTCAATTTCTTCAAATCTTTCAAAACAATTACCCAATTAAGCCACCCGAAAATCAACATTTGCCTAAAAAATTCTCCAACTTGATGAAGAATTTAACTAAACCACATGAAGTGAAATGAGCAAAGTTGTAAAGTGCTAAAACATGACACGAAACAGGCCAAGGTGAATTGCGATAAAATAGAGCAATTTCAAATTCTTTCACATTTTCAAAGAAAGTAACTCTAGAATTTCTAAATCAAGGAACACAGTTTTGCAAAATTTCTAACTTCCCACAGAAGGATATCGTACTTCAATCTACATGTACAAAGATTCTTATTAACAACAAATCTCAATTGTTAGCAACAACATTTTCATTACTTCAAAATAGGAAGCAGGAAAATTTTGTAGTAGCAAGAAGAAGTAGCAAATAATAAAAATAAGAAAGCAGAGAGAGAAAGAGGAGAAGTTTTCGTAAAAAATGCCAATCAGAAGGAAATGCAACTAAAAAATAGGGTAACCATGACCAAGAAAGAAATCGATCTCGATTCTTAATTCTTTAAAAGAGTACATTTAGGCTTGCATTTTCCATCAATGCATCTGCCTCAAGAAAAACCAAGTGAAACTCAAGCCCTGATAAACTCGCGGGCCTAGAAGCAGGTAGCCAGTGATCATTAAAGCAAATCACTAGCTTGTATGGGACCCATTTGTGCTGGTCACGCATGGCTGCAGATCAAGAATTAAGTCAATGATGCATAAAATAGATCGATGCACGATTCTTTTCAGTTTATTCACTGAAGCCAAACAGCTGAGTTGTGCTGCAATGTTCTCATTGCTTGGGAATGAACTATGACCTAGCCGAGCTCTGCCTGCGAAATCTAAACAACATCCAACTAAAATAACACAATTATTTTGCACAAAATATATATAATTTCTTCAACCGGAGATTTTACTTCGCAGATTTCACGGAAATACGTCTTTTAAACCGGATATATTATTCATTGTTGTTGTAATCTTTGGAGCACAGATGCAGTAAAATAGAGAGCTGGAAAGGCTATAAACACAAAGGTAAGACGAGGCTACAATATCATCTATCGCTTACTGATGCAAACTTCAAGAAAATTATTATCAAAGTGCAGCTTATGGAGTATATTGCTAGATATAAGTATATTGGCGAAGATTTAGTGAGATATCAAACTAGTTTTGTTTGATTTATCAATAGTTATGAAGAAATAAACTCTACATTAATTTCTAAGCTGCTGCAGAAGCATTCTACAGAGTCGAACCGAAAATAATCGCTTCCATCAGTGTTACATATTTGCCGCTTTTAATCTTCCAATACTCCAATAAGAACATAAAGTGAATATTCAATCTGCAATAAACTGTTTCTGAAGAACTGTACAAAGAAATTAATCGCGGAAAGGTCCTAGGCTGTAAACGACTGAAGCACATATCAGTATTTGCCTTATTAAGCTGATTTAACGCGTTATAAGTAATATCGCTTGGCAATTATAGATCTGCACTGAGTTTATTTCAGTGCTTGTTCTGCTGGATATACTGGAAAATGCGGTTAAAAAGCAAAAGGTTTCGGTAGTGGCCTGAATGTTTATTGAGACTGATCAGGAAAAATAGGCTGAATTCTATGTAGACTCTACTAAAAGAACAATGCATTTAAAACGACGGAAATAGTTGGAATTGTTAGTAGTTTGTTTGAAGAAAGAAATTATATGAAGCAAATCAAATGTGTCTTTCTGCAATATGATGTCTAGAATAAATATAGCTTGGAGCTAGCGAAGATAAAACAGATTTAAAGAATATACTGCTTTAAGACAGCAATTAATTTTATAAAAAAAGGAATTCCACAATGACTAAATATCAGTGATTCCTAATTATGCACTCTACACAGGAAGGACGTAGGCAATAGTGGCCCTTCGTAGCTTCTGATTAGATAAAGTCGATTAAAACGTAGGAAGACACTGAAAAATAAATACAAAGTGCACAGTAGATTATAGTAGTTAAACGACACAAATGTTATCATAAAGAGAGAGAAACATACTTGAGCTCCGATAGACATATCTTGGGTCATAGCCATTCGTAAAAAACGAGAAAACCCTTAATGATTGTCAGGGCTAAATTCCTCAAGCATTTGATTTTAAGCTAATTTTATTCAGATGTACGATATCACGAGCTTATAATAAAGATATCAAACTAGGCTTGATGGAAAGGTAGTGGGAATACGATGCGTTTGACAATGTACGCTGGAGTGCTGTTGCAGTGAAATCTAAACTGCAAGGCCCGGGGTTTGACTTGAGATAAAACGTGGGCATCCAAATCATAAACAAGCTGGAGATAACCAAGGGATCTCACCGTCGAAAACTAACTGATATCATGTGCAAGCAAGGAGATAATTTGCACCACCACTTTATATATATGAATATATCAACTCTCAATGACTTAAGGAAAAGAACAAACTTTGCTAAAAGAACCAGAACATAAGTATATTTAGCAAAGATACTTTAATGCTTTAAAAAATTAAAACCTGTGTTCTTATGTTCTAGATGAGACGTATACGACTCAAGTTCGGCTTGTGGCCGACAATTCTCCTTGCACTTGGATTGGTAAGTAAAACTTTTATTACTTTTTGTAAGACATTTCATATTTGTCAAGGTTCAAATATTTCCGTGAAATCAGTCACATACAAAGCCAACTTACATTCAACATAGCAAAAATACAAAGTATGAAAATATCAATCATTTTATATTTGTAGGTACTTGTACACGCAGAGATCGCAAAAGCTTTTAACCTCGAAGAAATTTTGAACGCAATAACACCAGACTCTTCGGAATCGCAAATACGTCACCCAGATCATGAATTCACTCGATTTAGACGAACTAGAATGCGTAGGTCAGAGGAAAAAGATATCGAGAGTGACGTCACAGAGTATGCTGATAATGCGAGTGGCGAGGGAGATGATACCAAGGCTGACACGAGCGATGACAGTAATGCCGAGCAGAAGGATGACGTCACGGAGTCAGGGGATACTGATGATGGATCGTCCTCAGGGGACGACGAAGAGCCACAGGATAAAAGGGGTAATATTGCTAACAATAGTGACAAGCTTGATATCAAGTCGGCACAACAGGAAGCCAATCAAGCTAGCAAAACTGATGACTTCAAATTTCCAGAGACAAGCAAACAGACAAATGCACCATCCCTGGGCACATCAGCCAACAGTGGATCGGAGGCTAGGCAAACTGTTGAAGCTTTTGAAAACCAAAATAATACCGCAGAGGCTAAAAATAATACTGCAGAGATTGGACGGCAAGAGAGCAGTATTTCCAATTTTACGTTACCAGGTGCAAATGTAACAGGTGAAACTGTTGCAAATGAGACAATGCCTGTTGTGACAAATGAGACAGGGGTGAATGGTACCAATGATATAAGTCAAAATGGAACATCGACTGTGCAGCCATCTAACAGTCTGGATGAAACTTCACGAGTGCAGGCCCCTAATGCAACATCAAGTGCCGATAACACATCAGCCGGTAATGGAGGAAACACGGAGGAGGAAGCAAAGAAAGTTAGTGCAGAGGAGGAGAAAATGGAGGCAGCAGTTATTGGAAACATGCAGAGTGCAGCAGCGATAAACAACACCACAACCAAACCGGAAGATAAGTCCGAGGTAATCATGTTCTCTGAAAAAGAGATGCAGAAAAACTACACAACTGTACCATTGAACACGGAGGTAGGCGCTGCTCCCACTGCAAAGTATTTCACAAATGTCAACAAAACTCAACCAGAGTTAGCAAATCAAACAACTACAAATGCAACCGTAGACGCCAATCAAGCAACGATTGCCAAGCCACAAGCAGTAACGCTGCAAAGAGGACTGGAATCAAGAAGAAAAGTGAAGAGCTGATGACAGCAGAAGAGATCGTAGAGGATATGGATTCTGAGAGTGATGAAGAAGATGAAGAGGGTACCAACTCATCTGCATCCGGGTCAGGATCCGGATCAGGCAATTTAGAGCAAGAAACAGAAGAAAAGCCAAAAGCAATCAAGGCGGAAAATAAAGAAAAACCGATTGCTAAAGCCAAGACTGCAAGCCTTACAGCAAATGAAGCCGCATTTTTGTCATCGATGGAGAATGATGATGAATCTTCTGGGTCAAACCTTGAGGTAACACCAGAATCCGGGTCCGGATCTGGAGACAGTGTTGAGAAAGCGGTCGCAGCAGAAGTGAACCAAAAGAAAGTAGAAAAGATCAAAGAAACGAAAAAGCAAGAAGAAAGCCAGCAAGTGCAGTCCAAGTCGATGACAAAGACAAAGCAACAACAACAGCAACAGGCAACCGTTCAACAAGCATCTGCAACAAACTGGCAGCAGACAATGACAAATTCCTATTCGAATGCTGGGTCAAATACGATGCCTCAGCAAGCAACTAAATCCAATACAGCTACAACTTTGAAGAAACCGGCCAATCAACAGCCCGCAAAGACCGCTGTTCAGATCAACAAACAACAACAGCAACAGCAAAAACAACAGCAACAACATGGATTCCAAAAGCCAAAACAGACAGCTAAACAACAACAGAATGCATTGAACCAAGGCGCAGGCGCAGAGAAGCGACCAGAAGCTAAAGCAAGTCAGTATAAAGCAAGCACAACTGCAGCAAAAACACAACAGCACAGCCAGGCAACTGCTCCAGCACAGTCTTATGTGCAGGCAAGCAATGGGCCTAAAGTTACCGCAAATACCCAACAAGGAGCATCGAAACCTGGAAAGGCAGCTCTAAAAGCAAAGAATTCAGCATTATCAAGTGCAAACGCGGTAGCAGGTCAGAAGCCAGTTGCCCAATCCGCTGCACCTCAACAGACGGCCTACTCACAAACAGCACAACAAGTACAAACACAAAACAATAAGCAAGTGGAGAAAAACGCTTTCAGCCAGGGACAACAACCCCAGAGGCCCGTAGCTGCTCAGGCGCAAGCAACGAAAGTGAGCAAAGCAGCAAATGCAGCAATGCAACCAAATGTAAACAAACAGGCGAAGGTTGCAAGCACAGCAAAAACACAAAACAATAAGCAAGTGGAGAAAAACGCTTTCAGCCAGGGACAACAACCCCAGAGGCCGGTAGCTGCTAAGACGCAAGCGACGAAAGTGAGCAAAGTAGCAAACGCAGCAATGCAACCAAATGTAAACAAACAGGCGAAGGTTGCAAGCACAGCAAAAGCACAAGCGCCAGTCGGACAAAAACAGGCTCTGAAAAAATTGCCAAGTGGTAAAAACGCGACTGTTGATGGGTACGGTGAAGGAGCAGATCTATTAAAAACGTCATCAAAGATAGAACTGAAAGACAGCGATGAAAATTTACCTGGTGCAACCGGGGATGATATCACAGAAGAAGATCTGCAAAAGCTGCAGTCTATTTCAGTGAATGATGCCGCAGCCAATGAAAATGAGCTCGGGGATTTGATGACCTCAGTCGGGACTAAGAAGCCGGAGACAAAGAAAAGCCAAACTCCACAAACACAAACATCAAAGAATAACAGCCCTAAAGCGAAGTCATGGACTATGGTATTTAATGGAACCGAAAGTGAAGGAAATTTGCCCGGAGGTTACGGTGGTGATTACTTGGAAGATGCAAGTGGTGATGACGATGATGATTCCGTGTCTGGCTCCGGAAGTGATCATGCAAGAGGAAACATTGAAATGCAAATCGAAAGTTCAATCGGTTCGTCATTTGAATCGACTTTGAAAAGCAAAAGGAACAAGAAGGAAGGATCCGGGTCTGGTTCTGGAAGTGGCGATGAGTATGCTTCAGAACTTCTTCCTGGTGACTACGGTTCAGAAGGGCCTTTGAATATTGATGAAGAGGGAAGTGGGGATGATGATGATGATGAGCAAAGCGGCGAAGGATTCGACTTTATGTCTGGAAACCGAGCAAGTGGATCCGGAAATGAAATTGACCAACATATCCATGCTCTTCTCAAGGCTCACGTCGATAGTCCTGCGAAATCCAAGGTTTCATCTTCTGAGAAAGTTGACGTTCCTACAGAAAAAGCAAAAAAGCCTACAGAGGCAAGCACTGCAAAACAACAAAAGCCCATAAATTATCCATCAATTCAAAAGGAATATGCTACGAAAGAGGTTGATGCACCAAAGCTGGAGCAAGACCAACCGGAACAAAAGAGCCAGAACCTTCAAGCTGACGACGAAGAGACTTCTGGCTCAGGTTCAGGAGAGACCGGTGAGAGCTCAGGCCGTTCCATCGAAGGTTCCGGATCTGATCATTCATTCACTTTACCTTTTGTGCAGCCAGAGGCACCCAAAGCGCGCCCTCTTGCAGTGCCACAAAAAAGTTCTCAGTTGCCAGGAGTCGCTCCTCACGAGAGTGCAGCCGTACAAGAGGCTGTGGCACATGTAACGCAAAATATCCTAAATAACATTCGTCAGTACCAAGGCAACGTGACTGCACCTTCACTGTCTGCAGATGCAAGAATGATCAAAACTGAGAATGATGCAAAAGAGTCTAACGTACAGACAGCTGAGGCAGATGATGATTCGGAAAGCGGTTCAGCCTCTTCAGGGCTCGCGGCTCCAAAGTCTGAAGATCAGGCATCTGGTAATCAGAAGTATGACACAGATGATGATGACGACGATGAAAACGAGACAACTCCAGAAGAAGCAGAGACAAAGGAGGTTAAGTCTGGTGTTGAACAAGAGGCTGGTCAGCGTGGGCAAATCGAGAAGAGCAAGGAGCAGGTGAAAGTTGCAAAGGCGCAAAAACATGAAGAGCTGCAACCTCAGGATGAAGATGAGGAAGAAGACCCTAAACCTAAATATGAAGGATTTACAGTGAGTAACTTCAGACGTTGGCATTTTTGCTCTCTAAAAAATGCAAAAGCACAGATGCACCAACTTTTTATTAATTTATCAGTCATCCCTATAAAAAACTGTTGTGTTTTTTTAAATTGCCATAGCATAAAACTTAGTTTGCATAGAAACATAGCCGTTAAATAAGTTTGCTAACTTAGTTTGCATTGAAATAAGTTTGCTAACAATGTTTAGTTTGAAAACTTGCTGCTTGAAGATTCCTCAAAGCTTTTAAGAATTGAATAACTTGAGAAACTAAATGCTCTTTATAAAACAAATGAAGCACTCTAAATAAGAAATCTTGCATAAACGAAAAACATATACCTTGAAGGATCCAAACGCATGGCCGAAAGAGGGAGACATTGTCACGGAAGATTTCCTCGAGCATCTGATGGTCAGTCAACTGCTAGAGCAGAACCTGAAACTGTTCTATACGAACATGGCAGGCAGACCTGGACCAGCTGGACCAGCCGGTGAGGCAGGAACACCGGGACAACAAGGATTTCCTGGAATGAATGGAGTACCTGGTTCACCAGGAGAGCCAGGCTCAATCGGTAAGTGGGTCTTTTGTAAGCTTTCATTAAATCTGCAAGAAGGAATGATAAATAAATCCCTTTAAAGATACATCGGACAAAGTAATGGATCGACTTGCGAGCATGGCATAATTGATTTGGTTATATCACATCCATATTTTCGTTAGGTACTATTTTGTAGCATATAAACACTTGAAATGGAGTGGAAATGCTGGGACATACAGAACTGGACTAGACAACGAGAAATTATTAATCATCTTAAGCATGTTAATGAATTGCGATCAATTATTTCATGAAACACGAATTCTTTCTGTCGTGATACCGGCATTGAAACATTTCTACATCAATTTATCCAGCATTTCAAAGTATAAAATTTATACATTTTAGAGACTCTTTATCCTAAATTACTTTTCCATTTCAGGCCCGGCTGGAGAGCCAGGGACACAAGGGCCCCAAGGGCCACCTGGATGGCCCGGAATGAAAGGAGAAATGGGAAGCGCAGGTGAACCCGGTCTGCCCGGTCCGCGTGGAAGCCCCGGAGCTCCAGGTCCGCCCGGAAACCCGGGAGAAATAGGAGCCACACAGTCCATGCCAGTGAGTACAATAATATTTTCACTAAAGCTAAATAAATGGTTTCTTATAATGAATTATTATTATTGATTGTTAGTTTTATTGATGAACTAATTTTTGATAGAAGGAAAACATTCTTTAAGAAATCAACATTGATTGTTTAAAGCCTTAATCAACAGCTGGGTAAGGCAACAGTCTTCTAAAGGGCTGAGAAAAATGGCTTTTCGGCAGGCCAAAAATCTGAAGGCTATGCTGTTCTCGATAAGACAAATATGAAGTTGACGATCACAGCGGCACATATTCTTGATAACCTTTACACAACTTCTGCATTCTCCTTTACGCTAATTCAAACGTTTATCTCGAGGCACCAAAGACATGAATATCGCATTTAATATGTAAAGTAATGTTGAAATATCGATTGACACCTTTAACAAGCACAAAACCTGCTGTGGATGTCGAAACTAATGTGGATCATAATTTCTTACAGAACTGCAGTTATGTATGTGAAGGTGAAAAGGCCTGGCTTGAATGTAAAGAATACGAAATGATCAAAGTCCAGAGAGTATTCTGGGGTCGAGAGGACAGTCAGCTCTGCGAGAAAGCGCCAAAAGGTCTATCGATGGATAAAACCTGTGAAAGCAACAGCGATAATGCTTTCAAGAAGGTAGCAGGTAACTGCCGGAGTGCAAAAGCATGCGAGGTAGTGGCATCAAATATCTTCTTTGATGACGATACTTGTGGAGATGTATATAAATATTTGAAGATTTGCTATGAATGCGTCCCTGACGAGGCAAACGCCGTGGATGTACTGCTGGAGAAAAAGAGGAAGCGAAAGCGACGTGGAGGAGAAAAATGGCGGAGAAGCGGGGAAAGGAAGAAACGAGAACTTTTTGATGAAATAGCAGAATCGATGTGGGAGCACCCAGTACACGCCAAACAGAAAAATGGGCGATAAAAATTTCATACTATTAGCTAAATGATAGAAAATGGTGTACAATTGATGGCCCAGTTAACTGAAAGGACAGTTGAAGGAGAATCTGAGTGGCACCAAAAGCAATTAGGAACCCTCCAATGGGTCACCCCACGTGTTATGACGAACTTGCACACGTAATCTGCATTCAATAACACAAATATTGCACTTTTGCAGTACTTTACGCTTTCGATAATTTAAGTCCTTAGTAAATATGCTTAATTAATAAAGAACTATTCATATTGGCATATGAAATTAAAAGGATATCACACGAGAGACACATTGAACCTTCAGGTTTTTGAGGTAGAATATAAAGATCTGATATTAATATAAATATATGAAAAAATTATTCAGTTATACATTCAAATATGAATACAATTTTAAGAATTGAATAAACAATACTGAATGAATGTAGCCTAGACTGTTTAAAGTGCATGGAATTTTGGTAACTTTAATATATAATTAAAACTGAGTAGAATAAAAGAGAATCTCGCTGTACACTTTGTAACAAAGTCAGACTTGTTTTTGGAAAAATTCTAAATATACATTATGTAAAATAGCATTAAATTTTTTATACATTTAAATTTCATTTGTTGGATGTTTCATTCATGTTTATAATTGATGTTTGTCATAGCAGTCCATGTGTGAAGAGTCTCTCTTTTTGAAGAATCACTGCGTTTCCTATTGAAATTCTAAAGAAGAACAAGACAGGCAAGTGGTTTCTGGTGCGGCATTATATAGCAGGGTCTGTAAAGCGACGTTCAAATCAATAATATTAAGAAAGAAATTATAAATAAAGACGCGGCAGAGCTGCAATTGAAGATCTGATTATTTAGTAAAGGGAGAAAGAAATGTTCCGATGTGAGGAGCCGTGTTTTGTCGATGGAGAAATTGGCATCCCTAAGATTGATGTTCCCAAAGTCGCCCCTTCAAAACGATAGTGCACAATCTTCTTTCAATGGCTTTGAAAAAAGCAAAAATTTTGAGCCATACCAAAGCTTTCGGTTTGACACCCTTTAGAGTATAATACGCCAGAACATAGATCAAAACACTACGCTAGGAAATCCCCTATCAAAAGTACAAGTAGCAGTCACAAGTAACATTTTTCAAGGTGCGAATTAGCAAATTATTGGCAAAGCTCGATCGTAGTTCCATCTAGCAGTTTTGGAATCTATCTATATAAGCACGAAAAAACCAGCTTTTTACGACTCCATTGGTAATGTTCTCTATAGGCAAGCGGCACTGATCGGGCAACCTCAACAGTCATGTGCTCGCGTTTCTGATTGGCCTATTTCGATCCACAAACTAGGTATATACATTTCCTAGCGCAGAGTTTTCGATCCATGTTCTGACGTTTTAAACTCTGGAGAGTGCCAGACAAAAAGCTTTAGTTTACTCAAATGTTTGCTTTTTTCAAGCCATTTGCAAGTTTTGAATCACCAAATAATCTATGAATTTGTCTCTATTCGTAAGTTTTACATTATTGATCCACACCGGCTACCGAATTTGCAAGGCCATAGTAAAACTGAGAAAGTGCTGCGTCGTGGCAGTGCTGCGTCGTGGCAGTTTTGCGTCGTGGCAGTGCTGCGTCGTGGCAGTGCTGCGTCGTGGCAGTGCTGCGTCGTGGCAGTGCTGCGTCGTGGCAGTGCTGCGCCGTGGCAGTGGCAGTGCCGCGTCGTTACTTTCACAGAAGTATCCAGGTTCCAGTAATGATGTTACAGCTTTAAAATCTTCTAAATTGTCGAGCTAGAACAACTTTTCGTAATCCGACTCGTTTTTTAAGGAATGATTCGGTGCCGATCCGGAGGTCTTACTAGAAGATTCATTTGGTAGAAGCGACGAGCTGTGTAAACAAAGGGCAGGGACGTAATAAACGTGGGCTGATGACTCACGCTTACTAGAAATTTCTCGTTCAAGATCAATAGCTGCAATGATCTATCCCTACCACAGCGATATTTTGTAAGATTATCAACACCGATCAAGAAGTTAGTAGGCTGTTATGGCGATAAAAGAATCAGGTTGAAGTATTATTTCTCCTTGATTTAATTCATAGCAAATCCTAAAAGAACTGTTTTACGCGTTTTGGGTATTTCATAAGTTAAGCTTTTTGATGTTTTGTGAGGTCTGTATGTCATTGCTGAAATCTGCGGTGTCTATTATCAGCTGGCGGTAATAATCTTATTTGTATTTTACGCATATTTTCCATCCTGCTATGATTCTCTGGTAAATTTCTTTGCGAATCTAGTTTTCCTGTCTTTAACAGCCTTCCGAGGTATGTGTATTAACCAACTTCTTCTATATCTTCTCCATTGATTTCATAGTCCTTTTTAGTTTTTTCTTCAAAGTCCTTTCAGCGATTTTTTAGTTTCCAATCCCACCTTTAAAACATCTGTCTGTGCCTGATTGTCCAGACTTTTAAAGAGGGTTGTTATCAGGACTGCCAAAAGCCACACTGGACCCGGGGGCAAGCCCAATGCTTGTACCCCTTCATACCAAAATCAACAAACTTGAATGCATTTAACATTGATTAAAATACAAAAATATTTTCTCTATCTACTTTTAATTTATATTTGTAAAGCTTTCCTAAACCAAGTAGAAATGTGATTTGCATTTTTTAATCCTAGTATACAGTTTCTTACCAGCAGGCTCCACAGGGGCAATTGCCTCCCCCCTAGTTCCTATTCTGATTCTGCAAACAGTATGAAGTCAATTAAGAATCTCAGGTTGCTCAGTTTCCTTCTAATGATGGCAATTCCCACATTGACATGAATTCCCCTGGATATTTCTTCAATAGCAGCGATGCACATAATAGGCAGGTCTTCCTGGCACACCACTTTCTTGATGGAAATATTTTTACTCGAAATTCTCTGTTCTCTGTTTGAAATTTACACCGATGAAGCCCTGTATGCTTGAGCAAAACATTAGTTTGATATTTGGTTTTGAAACTTGACAACTTATTGAAACTTTCACAACATATTGGATTGGCATTGCTGTTTTGCTTTATTCCTTCCTATCACCTTTTACATTGTTATTCATTGCAAGATTCACAAAATCGGATAGACAGGCTGTCCTGGGAATCTTCTTTCTAACATTTTCACTGTTTTTATCTTTGCAATACAACTCCATCTTCATGTCTTCTTCAGGATTTTGATGTTCCCTTGGTATGCATACTGTTTGATTTTTTAGAAAACTACTTGATGTTTAATCAAGACAAGAGTTTTTTCATTGTCAAAGAATACCACGAATGGCAGAATAATGCATTTGGAGATGGCATTGGAATGAAACGCATGAGAATGACCAGCACCGCCCTCTTAGGGAAAAATTCTGCCTGAGAATTTTTTTAAAGAAAATTTGTAAGTGCTGGCTTTAGGCAGAAACCCTGATAGAGAAACATTTTGTGCAAGTTTAAGAAGATAGCCTTATTTCTGCTGAGTCACTATAAAATCTCCCTACTTTGATTTAGCAATGACTATGTAATCAACATACATAGGTGCTGTTGTCTACTTCAGGAGAAATGACAAGTCCTTTGTGTGCGTAAAAAGGGCACCCAAGCCAAATACATGAGGAGCTTAATGTTATTAAAAACAGAAATGGGATAATTGATGTTAAAGAGTTACTGATATCAAAGTACCACTTACTATGAATAAAAGAACAGGGGTTCTTAAATTGATCCCTTAGAAAGCATTAAACCCTAGAGTGGAGTCAAGAAAGCTGTAGAGGAGTTCTTTTCTGAGACTTTGCTTTGCATTGGATGATTCAAAGATCAATTGGATGATTCAATAGGGTTCTTCATCTATAACCCTAATCATCAATTCAAGTCTTGTTCATAGCCAATTCCAAATAAAAATATGGCGCACACCTGTATGTATCTAGAACAAAACTGTGCTTGTTTCTAACATTTGGCTCACGGTTTCTGCATTTTTAATGCATTTTGTTATGAATATAGATTTACACATTGCTTTCTTTGCATAATTTTATCATAAATTCAAGCATGGTCAAAACTGAACTTGGTCAAAACTGAACTTGTCTAGCCAAAACCAAAAATCTGGCTAAGTTTTGGCCTATTTGTATTATTCTTAACAAGTAAATTTTTTTAACTTTAAAATGTTATCTTTATGCCCATGTAGCAATAGTTAGGATAGTCTGCATTGAAAACACCTTGCCATTCGAAATTTACGACCTTCTCCGGCATTCTCTCACTTTGGTTTTTGGCAAGCAATCCAGGGTGGGATCCATGTTAAGCTCATGCCCGACATACGCCAATAAACAATAGAAATACAATGGAAATGGAAATTGTTGGTCTACGCTGGATATCTCTGGCATAAGATGGATTCCACACTGATAAGTAATAATCTTTCATGAAGGAGGGGTGCTTTCGAAGAAATTGTTATTAGCCAGACCATACTAGTGTTCTATAACCATCTGTCTATTGTTCTATTTTTATTCTTTTTTATGTTCTATTGTTTTGATATCATTTTGGCCAAATTTTGAAGTTGATTTGGCTGAATGGTCTGGGAATGATCTACCAGCTCTGCTAGCTATTGTTGAGTGACTTTGAGCAGTTGTTAAAAATTCACAAAGTAAATAGTAAAGGGCTATCAAATAGCTCAGCCAAGAAAAGTTTAATTCTCTTGCAAGTAAGTAGATGCTAACCAAACCAACAAAATAAGTAGACTTTAGCATGCCTTTAACATTTTTTCAAGATAGCAACTACACGTTTTCAGGCACCGCGGAGCAGGGGGGCTTGGGGGGGCTTTAGGCCCACTTTTTGCAAAAAATGCAAAATATTAAGTATCAAACTACCAGAAAAGCCTCTTTTTATACCCTTTTAGCCCCCCTACTTTTTTTAGACCCCCCACTTTTCTCAACGCTCCGCGGTTCCTGGTTTTCAGGATTATCAACAAATTTAACTATTTGAGCCTGAGTTAGTAGATTGTTATTTTTAGCAACAAGGTCCAAAGTTTTATTCATTGACATACATCACGTTTATAATTACCTTTTACATGCGCGAGAATTATTTATTCATTTCATGACGGCTTTCTTCGTCTCTTCCTTGGGGACAGCTGATTTCACTGATTCCCGCCAACTTCTCTGACAACCTCAGTTTCCAAACGAGGTGTCAGTGCCTCTAGAACTTAAGATGGCGGCTGGAGCCATGCCACTACAAAGGTGTTTAGCATGCGCAATAAGCGGTAAGGTTTTCTCAAATTTTCTTGAAAGTATGTTTAAAAGGATGCACAATAAAAATCTCATTGAGTTCTCATATTTGATTATTCTAAATGTTATAGTGATCGGATAACCAAACAAAGTAGGAAAACGAGAGGGAAAACTTCACGTCACATAGGCCTACACCAGATTGGAATCTTTGAAAGATGCGCGGGGGATCTGTTTCATGTCCTTGAAAATTGCGCAATTGCAAATAGCACAGATAAAAACTGTGTGCGGCTGAGACTTACTACCATAAAAATACAGTATGTAACTTTTGGGTATACAATTCAGAGAAAAACATTAGTAACGTCATCAGTGGTAATAAAAGCAATATAGCAAAAGCAAAGATGAACATTTACCATAATTCCTACAGGGGGAACCCAACCAGATGAGAATACTTTCTGTAAACCAAAATCTGCCCAAACTTTCAAACTGTCTAGAGAACCTCATAAAGAGAGGAATTTCATGTTAAGAATATGATTAATCTGTTTATTGTTTAATGATAGTAATCAGTTTAGAGAATGGGAATATGTGACAATGAAACAATTGAAACAAAGAAATATTGAAACAATTGCAAGAAAATGACTGTAAAGAATATTCTCAAGTGTATTTTAAGCTAATCTGAAGAACGGGTTTGCAAAAGTTTTCTGTACATGATTTCATCAGAAAGGCCCTGGTGCATGCCTACTACTTTCCAGGAGTGCAAAATATCACATGCCTTCTTTTATTATTAGAGAAAAATTCAAAATGATTGGTTTTGTGGGTTTTTGAGACAAGGTTTTTAAAATGTTTATCCTTCCTTGGTATATGCTTCATGCCACTTCAAAAAGGCTTAACACCTTATCAGGATTGTGGATTAAATATAAGATTTTGAAATAACCAAAGCACTAATCTACAGTTGAATCCCGATATTGTGAAACTGTCACACGAGTATAACTAATTTTCCGGTATGACAAAATATGACTGGCCCCTTGAATTCTGCCTATCTCTGTACAAATTCCCTTGGTATGAGGAATCCCATATAGAACAAATTCTCATCATTACAAAATTATTTGTAATTTTCTTCATCATGATCTTCCTCAATATGATGAGCTTTTCTAAAAATTGTTACTTTTATTTTGGTCTACTTACTTAAGGCCTGGCCAAACAAATCAAACATCTGTAAAACATTACAAAGCATTTTCTGTACCAACATTGCTGGATGATGTTTTTTGACCTGGACAAGTGAATCAAACAATTGTCAAAAAGTCTGTGATGGACAAGTGCTGTGCTCCCTGTGTAAATTTATCACTACTTCCCAGGGGAATCATTATTGTCAGTGACAAAACATACATTGGCAAACATGCACTTTTTATAATGCTGATAATGGAAAAGAGTTTTGTGCAAAAGTTTACTTCTTTTCAAGACTTAATGGCATTTCAGTGAACAAATCCAAACACATGAAGACTATAACCAACATTTTTGTCCCTGAATTTTAGGAGGAACATCAAGTGTGTTGAACAAGATTCTACATTTTCGACTGCTAATTTAGCAAAAGTAGCAGATTATGCAACAAAAAGGAGCAGATTTGCCAATTATGTGATATAAAGATTATGTGATAAATTGTTGATTTCGCTACCGTCCTGTCCCTAAACCCTCCTCTTAAGACTTTTTTATGCTCTAAATCTAGATTTTTGCAACATAACATTTGATGAAAAATGGCCCATCATTATCTTTTATGCATATATGTTATGAATTATTGCCATCTGATCAGTGAAGGACATAAAATTACTGTCATGCTTGATAACAGAGGGCCCTGAGGGGGAATGGATTTACAAGCATAAACGGATTATAACAAGATGAACGCCAAAGCATCAATTATTCTGCTTGCTTATGACATTACAAACATTTTTTTGTACTTGTAGTGGCATGTTTTTGCTGATATACTAAATAAGCTCAGTTTATACTTGTGTAGAAAAGTGCTCAAGTCTTCAGAAATAACACATCATTTGTTAAGATGTAAGTAGTGATGCTAACAATTCAGTAAAGTTAATCTCATCGAAGTTATCGCTGTCATCATTTTCATGTTGGCAGTTAATGTGTAGATCTACCATAATTACAATAATATCGTTTGTGAAAAAATGTCACACGCCACCACACGCCTGGATGTTTTCATGCATGCCTGCTATATTTTTCCCATGGCAGCCTGATGTAGTTCAAATTTGAACTGCGTTTAGCATTCCAAAACATTTGCAGTAGAGTATATTTTGCAATACATTTTTTGTTGAGATGCGGATAATTTAGTTTCCTGTGGTCAGCTTTGTATGGTCTCTGTCGCTGACTGGAAATGTATTAGTTCATGAAACATTCATTCCTTGCAAGTTACCATTTTTCATGTGCAATCAAACACTCATGCGTTTCCACCAGTGCTGATATGGTCGCGAGTGATGGCTCGCCTCAAACAAAAAGGTCTGCATAACATGAACTATCATGAGATATGCTAAAAAATTCCAGGTCATGTGCAGCAAATTTCTGTGATTGTTATGATCTCAGATGTGCTTTTGATATACTTGCCAGTCTGGGCTCAGGTATATTTTTTTATCAGAATCATTAATCTAAGCTATCCTGCCTGTTTTTACTTCTGGTCCTTAATTTTTGTCTTATTGCTCTTGTGGAAGGGCAACTGTCAACTCACTTGACGAATTTCTTTTTGCAATTTGATAATTTGCATTTACATTTTCTGACTTGGGAATATTGCTGTTTGTTCTGTTGGTCTTCATGCATATTAGACGCACCCTTAACCTAAATGGAAAATATTCTAGATAATAGGCTCTCTAATACACAGTGAATGATACTTTATTTCCTATTTTTTATAATGTATAATTGTTTTTAGTCAACTGAATTGGTGTTGCTTACTAAAAGTGCTACCTTGAATCATTTATAAACTGGAAATATCAAAAATTATGAGCTAGAAAATGGAAAGGTTTGTTTAAAATTTTCTTTTTTCAGGAAGAACTCCCAAAATGAATGTCATCATTAATGCTACCAGACAGTTCTCACTTACTTCACAAATTTTAGCCGGAGGAGCTTTCCGAAGGAAGTGGGTTTTTATTTTTGCCATTAGCTTGATTGGTTGTTTTAATGCTAAAGTTGCTATTTCGGTTCTGCAAATTTGCTTGTGTTTCCTAAATTTGTTATAAAAACTGACAACAAATCATCATGAAAGTAAGTTTATATTTTAGCAGATTAATGTGTCTACATAAGCTGTGGACTTGTTAGAGTGGAATATGTTTCATCATTTTCATATTTGATTAGCAACATATGCCTCCCCTTACAGGGTGTATATACTTATTCCTCCTTTATATAGGTGATGAGTTTCTGTACCATAACTTATCCATAAAAGTTCTAAAGATCTGTTTTCCTTTTCTTGACTTGCAGTCTTGTCCTTTTGAGAAGTTTCATTTCTACGAAATCAGACATTATTAACAATTTTTCTAAGATCTTGTTTTAATATATTCTATTAAATTTGAATCTTAAACATATGAACAATTTTTTTGCGGTACAGAATTTGAAAATGGCTTTGAAAAAAGCAAACATACTAAAAATACAACATACTAAAAGCTTTTTCGTCTGACACTCCTCACAGCAGAAAACGTCAGAATAAGGTTCTGAAAGAAAACAATGAAAAATGTATACACAGTTGTGGATCAAAATAGGCCAATCAGAAAAATGCAACAAACTCCTTCTGTCTACACAAATTTGAATCTTAAAAAAATATATTTGACAATCATAGAAATAATTACTGAAGGGTACTTATTTTCATTGGATCTATTGCATATTCATAATATCATTCATGTGGTATTTTTAGGCAGGGAAAGGCAGAGGATTCCCTGGCATATGGTCCCTTGACTGATACCCCAGACTGGACATATTTAGGTATGTAATCTAATTGTAATTTTTCAGTTTTCTTCTGATACCACTTGGGATGTGTTTTTTTTGTTTCACTCACTGGAAAATGAAATCCGCTTGTGTATGCTCTGTTCAATTCGGCATTAAAGGATAATTATTTTTCTTAATTTGCAGAAAAATACCTCTTTTAAAGCAACTGTTTTAAGAGTTATTGTTTCTGATCAGAAGGTCCTTTGAATGCATCATTTTATGGGAAAGCCCCTTTAAAACCAGCACTTTTGCTGAAGAATTCTTTTCCCTGTAGTTAAATAATTGAAATAAAAAGAAACAAATTTGATTGTTTAAAAGTCTGAACAATTTTTCTTGCATGCTTTTCCTTAAATTGCTATTTAGCTAAAGCTTATTTTTTTAATGAGATTAAGTCTGCGATTAAACTCAGAGTATTTATATAGTAGATGACTTATTAATAAATAACGTGTTGTCTTTGAATAGGGAATGTTATTCTTGTATCTCATTTGGCAGTAGAAATTTCATTTTGAGGCATTCAGCTGATCCTCTCAAAGGACCCATTGACAAAGGATGACTAAGGTTTAAGAACAAATTTTCAAATACCAAAAGTTGCTTCCATTTGTAATTCTAACCGCTCGCTATTGATTGATAATCATACTTAAACTTCCTGAACTAACCATGTTGCTATCCTTAAACCACAGGAGTTTAAATGTATTTGGAATTCTTGTACAAGGAAAGAAAGATAGACTATAGCATATGAGTAGGAAAGAACTCGCAGAACGGGAGGGTTTAAATTAAATATATTGATATTTTGCCCTGCATTACAATGCTCTACAAGAGAGGATACCCTGCCTGTTATTTGCAGATTTGGATCTTGTGCGATGAATGCAGATGTCGTTATTACCTAGATTTCTCGTACTTAAAACGTATCTAATTTTCAAGTCTAATTTGTTTGCGTAATTTCCTATATTTCTTTTATCAAAGATGGATCTGTTCCACCTCTTTCAAAAAGACAATTGGATAGACAGAAGAAACGAATAGAAACAGCTGTAAGTTATCTTCCTATTATGCAGCATAATCAATTATAATTTATGCAGCATTTTGAACATATTCTGACACAGAGCATATAAAGAATGTCATCTCCACGTGAAACTGTGTTTTCAGTGCAGTGCTCAAGCATAATTTTAGATTTAAGATAATTCGGTCTTAACTTTACCTAATCTAGTACGACTTTTTCAGCACTGGGGAATTGTTTTCTTCGTTAGAAGAAGTCGATTCATTTTCGAATTTTATTGGCTCGCCCAAGAAAAAATATTCCGGGAGATATTTTTTAAGCCTAGGCCTAATATTAAAGTTATTGCATTTAAACCATGGCAGGTGACAAATAAGATTTGTGGCTTAGTATGCAATTTTTCTGTCGAAGAAGAAGTTTGATGTGGCTTGTTTAGTTAACGTAATGGAGTAATTAACAACCTCAGAACCGACTTGCGGTTTCTACCGTTGAATTATGCAAAGCATTAGCAATTTATCGCTGCTGTTGTTAATGGCATTACATTGAAAACTATTCATGGGATGGTATGCAGAAGCATTGGTTAAAGTTGCATCATCAATAATTCATAGATAGATTCGATTTAGCCAAAACTAATTCATGGTCCTAGTCTAGATACAGGTCAGCCCTGTTTTACACCGCGATAATTCAGTGAAATTATGCACAGAGTCAAACATCTCGTGAAAAACATTTCACGATAATTCAAGTCTTTTGCAAGTATATAATAACCTGTTTTGTAGTGGTAAACATTTTCAAATATTTCTGTTGTCTCGCCAAGAACCTGCCAGCACTCGTATTACTAGCTTGCCTATGTGTCGTATTCCTCATTTCATTTCTTCCTATTGTTTAACTTATTTTATTTGCTCTCTCATTTAATATTTATGCATTTGTCAGAAATTGATGACATAGACATGTAATGAAAGCTGAAAGCGCCTTGGGTATTGCTAGTTGAACATCAAACCCCCGTTTCAGAATTTTCAGAGTTTCAAGAAATTCTGAAGCCAATGATCCATACATTTATGATATTGAGATGCCAGAAGTGAGGGGCAAATCACTCTAAGAAAATCTCGTATACCTTTCGTGAAAATCCTATTGTTTTATCAGAAAATAGCGATAAATCCTATTGTTTTATCTGAAAATACCGAGAAATCCTTTTGTTTCAGGGAAAATCTCGTGCGCTATTTGCAAGAGTGAATTTCCCCTCAGGCAGAAGTACGACACGGACAAATGATAATTCTTTCGCTAATTCCCTGCCCCAAAATCAATCCCTTTCTTTTGCAACTAAGATATAAATTTCATAAAAACGCCAAGTGATTTTATTGGCTGAAAAGGAAATTTATACTAATTTGAGGCATGAGCCCCTTCAAGAACTGTTGTTGCGACAGCCCTGGTGAAACTGCTGCTGATAAACTTTATTCTTATCAACCATTCTTTTTAGCAACTAAATTAAATCCAAAGCAAAAGCCTTTCCAGAAAAGCTGTCTGTCTGGTTTTATGTGACCCCACCCTTAAACCCTGAAAACCTGTTCGTCATTCGATAATCTCCTTTGTTGTTGTCAGTCTGGGCTTCTGACGATTGCGTTGTTGTTTTGAACCTCGGTGCAAATCAGCTGATTTTCCCATGGCTGATTTCAATTGCGTAACCACTTTTAAATTGACACTGGAAAGGTTTCAATAAATTGTAGATTTCGTCTCGCTTCATAACTGGCTTGTGGCTCAAGGTTATAGGTTTTCTTAAGCCAGTGTTTATTGAATATAATCCAAATGTATTTTCGCCTAACAATCATTATATTTTGCCTCCGGGACAAATATGAAATTCTCAATGTGTCTTCTCGTCGTTATTTCTATGACTATGGAAAATCAAAAGCAATGTTTTTGCAAAAACAACCCTGCCACTGTTTAAAGTGCACACGGTGCTAGACTCTAAAATCACAATGAAACGTACCTACCGTGAAATCGCCTCATACAGCTAGTCATTCAACTTTTTATTATATATCTCAGCACAGAATGAACCTATGATACCTTTATACTAAGCTTTTGTATCTTTCAGATGATCAACAGGGACACTTTTGCTTACTTATTTCATTTGGGTTGATTTGAAATTATCAAGAAATCTTGTTTAGCCTTAGATTTTGCACTGCGTGGTGCTGTTTTGAAGGATTGATATTTCGAAATGATTTAAAATATCTCCGACAACGCGGCCTACATTTCTTTTCTATCAGTCAAAATGCTATATATATGCTTATTTGTTGTAAGTACAAAATTAATGCAATGGCCTTTATGGATGCCTATATCGTGCACGTTGTATCAAAACAAATTATCTGGTCGGTTTCAAGTATGTCAAAGTTGGAATTCTTTGTGAAATAGGGAAAAAAACAGGAACCTTTGTATCCATTTGGAAGTAACCTTTGTATCCATCAACCCCTCCCCACTTCAAAACTTAATGAGACAGGCATGTTTTTAGCTTTTTGAAAGAAAATTGTACGTTTTTTGCTGTCCCTTAAATTCAAAACTACTATGGTCGTTTTCCGTCCAAAATATTTCGCCAAATTTTTCCCATAAATTGTTAATTTCTTTATAAGAATCCACTTTTCAAGCTTTTTTATTTTCGACTGTTAGTTGACATCATTCTTTGCAATTCATGAAAAGTTTTCAAAACCGACCAAAATTATTTTGCTCATGTTTTTCTTTACAAATTTCGAGCTGAAAATGTCTTATCCATCTTAAATGTCTCATGTCGTCAAGGTTTGTCTATAACCGTGTAATCTTGTTATCATGTTTTATGCAAAAACTACTCTTGTTGGAGGTTTAAGCCATGGTGGATTTATTTCAATTAAATATTTACTAACATCTGCAATTTTTTTTCTTGCAGAATAGAGTGGTGACCATTTTAAAACAAATAAATGAAGCCAAGAAGAAATCTCAGGATAAAAAACATGTCCAAACAGAGAATTCTTTATAGCCTCGACCAGGAAGGACCTTATTATCCAAAACATGAAGACCAGTAATAGACCTCTGCGTGGCAAATTTCACTTTATGTTATGTGGACTTCAGCAACTCAGTTGCTATGGCGATCAATGTTTATTTACATTAAATACTCTCTCTGTCCTATTTGAATAGATTGCCGTTGGCTAGATTGATTTGCAGTAAAATTACCTGTAAATTTTAACGAACATTATGGAGGATTTGCTTCTTTGCCTTCAATGACCTAAAGAGAATAGAATTTCCCTTTATTTTTCACTAGACTTGAGACTTTATAAGTCATTTAATTCTAGATGCAAGGTATAGGTGTCAAGTTATGAAAAAATAAAAAATTCAATTGACATATGTTGGAATCTAAGCTAAAAAAGGCTCGATTTTTTATGGCATATGGAAATGAAAGGCAAAGAGGACATCAAGATATTTCTTTGGCAATGATATGATTACAAATCAGAGATAAATGATTTAGTATGTTGTTAGGTACGAAATACCACAAGGCTGAATGGTTTGGTACTACTCATTTTCATACAAAACTCCCTTCTCATCTTGTCCTTATCGAGAGACGTTATAATCCATGAATGAACAGGAAAATTTATATGGTTTGCAGGTCGAAGAATCGAATCAATGGGCCTAGGTCTGAGGCCCTGATCTATAAAAAGGAACTTCGTTACGCCACTGTTTTCAAGTTTATCTGAAAAATTATGTTTGCTTACGCCAAGCTTATTATCTTAATGTAGCTTTCGTTTTTGAGTAATTGTACATAAATTACTTAGATGCATTTTTATTGCAACTTTTCTTTATTATTTGTCCAAGTTTGTGCTCAAATTTCTGATATTGTCTTGCCTGCTCTTATATACTTGTATTAAACAACAACCTAAGTCACTTATTAAAACGAAGAATTTTCCATTGACTCTCCAAAACTAGCATTGATAAAATGCCAATGTTGATATGGATTTTTTGAAAGTAATTATATGAAGTGAAAGTCTATGTGGCTGCTTAGAAAGGTAGCTGCTTGGGAAGGTTGCTGCTTAGGAAGGAGGAGACAGGGGGGTTCAGGAGTGGAATATCGTGAGTGTCAATTTTAGATCGATAATCTTAAGTTTTGCAAGCATTGGTATCAAAATCTCAGTTGCAAGCATCAATGATGTCAATTTTCAGCAACTTGTGGTACATACTTGAGAGTGAGAGCAACTAATGTTTTAATCTCGTTGGAAATTCTCCATTTTACCATCTTCTCAGTATGAATTCATTAAAACAGTAATGAATTCAATACAATTGTAACAGCTATTGACTTTTGACTTAAACTTCTTAAATTGTTTTGTCTGTTAGATAAGACTGCTTGCATTCCTGTAACGTGATCATGTATTCTCCTTTATGTACATAGTAGAGCCAGGGTGCTCAAGGGGGGGGGGGGGCTGAACGTTTGGATTTCAGATTACATCATATTACATTATATCTAAAATTAAAATTAATTTCATCATATTTCGTCATATCAAATTATATCTAAAATTAAAACTCATTTCATCATATGATGTAATTATTGGCGTGGGCGGAGCTTTAGATAAATGTAGGAAACTTTGTATGAGTCTTATCAAAAACTTTTGCCCTGGGTGCCAAAAGCCGAAATGACGAGGTAACCGACCATCGGAACTCACGTTTGTAAAACCCCCCTTTAAAAAGATCTGCACCGATATACACCTACAAAGTACCCCTTGATTGCAAAAAAGTCTTCGTTTTTGAGAAGGTATTTTAATTGGGTTTCCAAACTTCGTTCAGAATTACATTCTACAGTACCTCGGCCTCGGCCTGTTCCTAAATTGTTCTTAACTTCTGACAAACGTTTAGGTAACATTTTACATGTTTTCATTTGAAGAGGTTTAAAATTATTGAATGATTAATTAAAATAATGTGTATTATGTCGATGCATATCAATGATTTATCAGCCACTATTGAACATTAATTTTTTATCCCGGGAAGCTCAACTGTCGCCACTCTCCGGAGTCGATAAAAAAATTCAAACATTAGTCCTTTAATGACAATTATCTGTGTTGGACCCAAAGTCAACGCAACAAATCATCATTCGATTCAAGATATTTCAATCCTGTCTCTTGAAATTTTTACGAATGTTTAGCAAGTATCCAGGAGCTGTAAACAAAACTGCTGCTGGTGGCAACAAGTGGTAGCACAACAAACGCGGGAATCTATGCCTCTTTGAACTTGAACCTGCTGTCTCCTGTTTGGCGAGCGATTTTGTTGACGTCACTCAGCCAATCGGTGATCGCGGAAATAACATCTCCTTCCACTATTGGTCAAATTCAAGTTTCTAGTAGTAACGTTCCATTCGAAATTTCTGAAAATCTGGGGGGTAGCTGGTGATGAGAAAATGTATGTCATTGGTCAATAATCGATCCAAAATGGGGTAACTCGTTATTAACTATCCCCCGTATTTATTCGAATACAATTCGTTTCCAACGATCCGACTGTTGCATGCCAACGGACGCAATTCCAACTCACTCAGTTGAGAGCGCTAGTTGCAGGCAAAGGGTGTGAAAAAGCTTAGTTAAAATACATCGAAAATTAATTCGTCAAAATGCGTGAAATCGTACATTTACAAGCTGGACAATGTGGAAACCAAATTGGTGCCAAGGTAAATTTATGTTATTTTGGATATTTATTATGTCGCCTTCGATCGATAGGTATGTCGCCCTTATCATGATTTTTTCGCTAATGCTGATTTCACATCCATTTTTCAGTTTTGGGAAGTTATCTCCGACGAACACGGCATTGATCCCACCGGAACATATCATGGAGATTCCGATCTTCAGTTGGAAAGAATAAACGTATACTACAACGAAGCAACTGGTAAGTGATTTTAAACACTGCCACACTTGAAAAGACTTCCCGCCATCTGCTTCCCTCGAGCACGCGTTTTCTGAAGTATTGAACAAGTTTTAGTTTTTTTTAGTAAAAGACTCTCCGTGAGCCAAACCCTTGTTTTAGGCAAAGTTGAAATACACTTTAAGCAACACCTGTTTTCCAACATTATTTTATAAAGGCCTAAGAGAAATTTTTTTTCCCTTTCCAGGTGGCAAGTATGTACCAAGGGCAGTGCTTGTCGATTTGGAGCCAGGAACAATGGACTCTGTTCGTTCGGGACCATTTGGACAAATCTTCAGACCAGACAATTTCGTATTTGGTACGTAAAGTTATCTCTGAATATATTAGATGACGCATTACTTTGATGTTTCCATGACACGGAGAACTCCGCCACCAACTTAGTATTTTTATAGCCAAAACCGATGTAAAATTTCAGCAATATTCGAGCCGAAAATTTGTTTGGCAAGTTTTCAAAGATTTGGTAAAAACACTTTCGAAGAACGCATATCCATCGCGCGCATAGATAATTTTACGGGTTTGAAATATGACACTTGGCGCCATATTCGAAATAGGCCCTTTATCCCGCCCTGTCTCCTCCATGCCTTCTCGCTCCCTTTACAACCCAAATTTTTTCTTACAGTTTTTACCCAAGTCATTTCTGAAGGTTCGAAGATAAAATGTCAATACTTGTGGTATTTTGGACTCAATTAAGTCTTAGCTGTCAAATGCGACTATAGGCTTTTTATTTTGACATGCGTCTTTTTTATTACAGGACAAAGTGGTGCAGGTAACAACTGGGCAAAGGGACATTACACAGAAGGGGCAGAACTAGTAGATTCAGTATTAGATGTGGTACGAAAGGAAGCAGAAAGTTGCGACTGTCTTCAAGGATTCCAACTGACACATTCACTTGGTGGCGGTACTGGATCTGGTATGGGCACTCTGCTCATCTCAAAGATCCGTGAAGAATACCCAGACAGAATTATGAACACTTTCAGTGTTGTACCGTCCCCAAAAGTATCAGACACTGTTGTTGAACCATACAATGCGACCCTTTCCGTACATCAACTTGTAGAAAACACTGATGAAACATTCTGCATCGACAACGAAGCTTTGTATGACATCTGCTTCAGAACACTTAAACTGACCACACCAACATATGGAGATCTGAACCATCTTGTCTCAGCTACCATGAGTGGTGTCACCACCTGTCTCAGGTTCCCAGGACAGGTACATAATTGCTTTAATGTACTTAAAACTGATTACTGTAATAGCAACATTTCAACTTCAATGTTGATGATGACAATATTGCTATTAGAGACACAACAAACTTGCTTTGAAACTTCAATCATTCTCCTTGATTTGTTTGAAATATTTTCATCTTGACTTTTACCCTATTTCAAGTCAATACAAATAAAAAATTTCTCATCCAATTTGTCAATTTTTAGCTGAATGCTGATCTGAGGAAACTGGCAGTAAACATGGTGCCATTCCCACGATTGCACTTCTTCATGCCTGGCTTCGCTCCACTCACAAGCAGAGGCTCACAACAATACAGAGCCCTGACTGTGCCTGAACTGACTCAACAAATGTTTGATGCCAAGAACATGATGGCAGCCTGTGACCCACGTCATGGACGATACCTGACTGTTGCTGCCATGTTCAGAGGCAGAATGTCAATGAAGGAAGTTGATGAGCAAATGTTGAATGTCCAAAACAAGAACAGCTCGTACTTTGTTGAATGGATTCCAAACAACGTGAAGACTGCAGTTTGTGACATTCCTCCACGTGGTCTGAAGATGTCAGCCACATTCATTGGCAACAGCACAGCAATCCAAGAACTATTCAAGAGAATCAGCGAACAATTCACTGCTATGTTCAGAAGAAAGGCTTTCTTGCATTGGTACACTGGAGAAGGTATGGATGAAATGGAATTCACAGAAGCAGAATCCAACATGAATGACTTGGTGTCTGAGTATCAGCAATATCAAGATGCAACTGCTGAAGAGGAGGGAGAATTCGAAGAGGAAGATGAAGAAGAGGCTTAAATGGACATGTCGATAACACATTGTGTAATATGTAAAGAATAATAAACATAGATTCTTGCAATCTAACCTAAACAATACTTTGTTTCTTCTTGTCCTCTGGTACACTTAAGTTATTGCTAATGCAGCTGTGCTGTTGCACAAAACACTGATTTTTAAAAAAACACTGAAGTTTATGCTTCTGAGAGCTCTCTAGTTTTTCTCTAACATGCAGGGTTCTAGTATTTTGACTTGGCTTGAAATTTTATGCCTTCCTGATTTTCTAAACTTATTTGCCGTTAAATTGCATTTGTGAAATCCAAAGAATCAAGATATCATTGAGGTGTGTTACCATATCTAAGGGACTCTTGCAGAGTCACGGTAAAGATTGCAAAAACAATTCAAGTATTTATGTGATGGCTTACTTAACTGTTCAAAGGGTGCATTTCAAATTTTCCAGCTAATTGTAAGTTTATTTGGAACCTTTGAAAAGATATGGATAATGCAAAACTTGTTTAAGAATCTGGATTGTTGAATTTGAGCCATCAATTTGACTTTTTAGCATAAAGAGTTTTGAAATATTGGCTCTGATTTGAAAAGTTTCATTTCAATGCCAAAAGAGACCAAAAATTCAGGTAACTGCATTTTACATTTTTCAACAGTTTAAAGTACATTGCCTTAACAGAAGATTTTCTTACCAAGATGTCGAGAGATACTGAATTATGGTTTTGATGGGATAGATTTTTGATATAGTTCCTAATTACTGTTTCAGTAAATTATTGAAAAGGTCTTAAAGACGACGATCTTAACAATTTAATTTATTTGATTAAAATAGCCCAAAGTTCTGTAGGCATATAAAATAAATTTTGGATGATAACTTGAGTACTAAGAAAACTCTGAACGCCAAGTCTTTGCCATCGAGTTACTTTTTACGATTCATTTACTTGAAATTTTATCATACTGGAGATAGGCCAGTGAAAGGAAATTTGTGTATTTGCTATGCATATTTACACCCGTTGCCACGTTTGACGGTTTTTGTTGGCAAGTAAGGCCCAGTCCCCGCTATAGCAGGTTCTCATTTGAGAGGTAAATATGAAATTTTAGCATAAAATGCACCACAGAGTGCTGAATTGGGACATTTCAGGTGAAAGCTGGTAGAAATGTTAGAAAAGTTTATTAAAATTTCCAAGCAAATGGAAAATGGCGACGCGAATCCTGGTCACGCCCTGAGTCATTGTCCGTCAATCAGACGAAATTGCCATAGCTGCGAATTTGATGATTTTCGCTGATTGGCTACTCGATTCCATGGGCTCCTCGCTTCGGTGATTGACGGGGGATGTGATTAGCCCTGTTGTGTTTTCAGATGAACTTACTTCTAATTGATTTCAATAGTTTTTCCCTGTAGGTGTACCCCCGACTTATGATATTGTACCTAGATTTATAAACCGCGCCAAATCAACTTTCAAGCAGCTGGGAAAAAGTGTCCACGCCGGTTATTCGCAAGCAGTCGAAATTATTTAACTAACTTATTTAACTCCGCCATCAAAATGCGTGAAATTGTACATATTCAAGCTGGCCAATGCGGTAATCAAATTGGTGCCAAGGTAACCCATGTTTCAACGTTTAATTTAAGTTATTTTTGGCTTTGACTTTCCTCGAAATACTAACGAGAATACGCTTTCGTGAAATTTACACGGCATATATCTCAATTTTAGTTTTGGGAGGTCATCTCAGATGAACATGGTATTGACCCAACTGGAACCTATCATGGAGATTCAGATCTTCAATTAGAAAGAATAAATGTTTACTATAATGAAGCCACGGGTAAATATTGTTTAGGACGCTATTTGTCAATCGACATATTTGTCTTCCCGTCGATGCCCTCTTTCATTTTATAAACGGGGACCTTTGTTTTCCAGCTGATTTAGATGTGAGATGATAACTTGAGCTTTTGACAAGCATTTATGGCCTTTTATAAAACGTGGAAAACTTTTTCCAGAAGTAGATGTAAAGGGACGTTTCTGCCAAATGCCTTCATTCAGACATCGGCCTGTTCTCAAGTGGCCGGCCCGGTTTTGACGGATCTACCCTACAGCTGATTCCGTAAATCAAACAAAATAAGCTTGTAAGATTAACACTTATTAATTTATTACATCGCTGCATCGTATTTATTAATTTTTCACAAATCAGCCATGATACTTCAATATTTGCATAAATGTTTTACACAACCTAATAGAAAATGTTTTGCCGAATTGGTCTTGAAGTAGCTTTAAAAGTTACAATATTTTACGACTTTGTTGTCCTCTATGTTAAATTATATTTTCTAAACTCATCAACGGCATATCTACAACTTCTCAAAGTTAATCAATAATTAAGTTAATATTGTGCCTGATGCACCTGTTCCAACTCTGCGGGATGCACCTCAACATAATGCCGTTGACCGAGGAAGTCACAACGTCAAAGCCCATAGCCATCACGTTCATTCATTTTCTTAGTATAAAGAAGTAGATTTAGATTACAAGAAAACTCCTGTGTTTGATCTTGTAGAAAATTTAACCATACTTTTATGTAAATGAACTTGTCAATGTATAGTTTAACAATTTTTTTCCTCGCATTCATTTTAGGGGGAAAATATGTCCCAAGAGCAGTTATGGTCGACCTGGAGCCAGGGACAATGGATTCAGTTCGCTCGGGACCATTTGGGCAGATTTTCAGGCCTGATAATTTTGTTTTTGGTAAGAAATTTATTTGATATGCTTGATATCACCATTACAAACATGTTGTCCTGGTTGCCTAATCAACATGTAAACAAGTATTTGATGTATGACAGGTTAAATAGCCAGGGGTACTTATCTTTGTCAAAAGTGTTGAATAGGGATTCTTTGGATGTCACATTGTGCTTTTAAAAACAAAGCAAATGAGCCATCTTTAAAATAATTTACAGGATCTGGGAACTCCCATAGCAAGTAATTGTTTCCCATGACTTCTCATAATTTTAGTTGGAATCCTAGCAACTAGCAAAACATTTTGATCATAGCTGAAGATATGCTTTTTGTTTGTGGCTTTGAGAATAAAGAAGTTATAGAACAACTGTAGTTATGGGTAAAGTCTATTGAAGAGAACAGTATGGTTCATAGCTTTTCAATATACTATCATATTCAATAAATTTGTCTTGGTGGTGAACCTTTCTTCCAATTGAAAGACAGACATCATGTCTATGAAATATGAAACATGCTTCCAATTTTACCAAACCCTCTTTCTGGGTGTTCAGGAGTAGACACCCCCTGTTCATTTTTTTTACTTTTTTCACACCCCCTGCTTCTTGCTTTAACCCCCTGTTTATTCTACAAAAGTGATAGATGATACTTTCCATTGTCCTTGTCAGGGAAACCTGCACTTGAAGAGGGCGATGGGGGCAAAGGGCAAAACAACAGTAAAACAAAGAAAAATTCTCAATTTCACAAGGACAAAGGGGGTCACTGCCCCTGCTGCCCCTATGGTGCAATAATCTTAAACAATGACTTGATTTTTAAAGGTTGATCATCTACACAATTGATTAAACCCCCTTATATTTAATTTTGAACTTGGCAAGGACCCCCTGTTTATTTCAACCTACTTTGTGGTGGTTTGCAAACCAGAATCTTTTTCATTGGTTTGACTATTCAATTAACCTGTTTACAAACTCTTTCAAAAACAAAACTGATATTCTTAGTGTTTCCTTTTTTCGTTTCAGAACGTACAGAGATTAATTTTCTTCAGTCCTATTTTCCTACGTCAGTCCTTACTTCAGTATAATTTCCTTTCTGTTGTCATAGCTATCGCTTTCGTACACAAACTGGCAATTCCAAAACTGAAGTGATATTAACAGACGGTGTAAAACTCATTTCAGTTCTGAGGGTACATATGGCTAAATTTGGCATCAAGTTCTGGGACCAAGTTTTGGGACCAAGAAAATCAAAGCAAAATTTCTGAAATATGAATATCAATAACTTCATTTTTTCCCTTTATTTTAGTTCAAAGAAATACAAGTTCATAACAACAACCTTTATAATGAACTATACTTCTACAAAGCATATTGTGAGGCACACCTGATCTCTTAGGAAGAACAATTTGCTTAAGATGACCATTAATATCCCAATTTATCAAGTGTTTGTGCAAAGGTACAAACATAAACTCTACTAAAGTAACCACACAGGGAACGAAAAGCCTTTTTCAACCCCACTGCCATTACACAAATGAAGACAACAAAAACAGAAAGAAAATAGAAAATCAAAGAAAATCAACAAAATTAGTTTTTCACAACATGATGACCAGAGTGTGGTTTAGTTAGAAAAATCTCAATTTGCAAATCAAGCAGATGAATGGAAAAATTCAATGTGAGTTTGAGGATATGCTTGATTAATTCATTAGAAATTTTCATCATAACAATGTTAAGGCAATACTGAAGCTACATCCAAGGTATCTTTGCGAGTTGTCAGTCGCTTTAGTGCACTGATGCTAGCGATAACATCCTAGTAAGTCTTTGCACTTAAAAGCACAGGTGAAGCAAATAGTGCTTTATATCATTACCAACATAATTTGTAAGACTCTTTCTTGGCTTTATGGTGAAATTATGTCTATTTGTGCAAAATTAGGCAAGCTGTTCATTTGCCTAGGTAATATCGGAGTCATGAACCCCATAACAGAGTGGGCAGGGTAGCAAATAATTTTATGAGAGCTTTTTCTCAAAGAGTGTGCTTGATAGTGATAATCTAATGCAGTCACTACTCGTTTCCATGCAGACAAACAGTTAGAGTGAAAACTAGATTTGAACTTTCCATTATTTCCGTGGAGAGAGTAGTGAAAGACTGGAAAGGCGAAGTTTGTTGGTTGAAGTGACAATCAACTATTTAAACAGAGTAATGCATATATGTCATTTTTGAAGGTAGAGGGATTCTAATCCAAGGCATAATTATGTACAATTTGACTCAGGATCTCCCACACCAGACTATATCTATAACTAAGGCAGCCAATTACAGTGGTGGATTAAGGGGGCAACTAGGGGCAGTTGCCCCTCCCTCTATGAGTTGAAGCAAGTCTGGTGCCCCTTTTTGGAAATTGTGCGCCCCTTTTGAAGAATGAGAATCAGATGAAAAAGTTTCTGAGACCAATAGGTTAATTTGCTTCAAAGATTACCTCAAAGTTATGTTGTTTATTTCGAAAATGGATCTGAAATTGTGGCATACTGCGTCATCAATTTTTGAAAATTTTTCAGCGTCCCAACTACCAACTGCCCCTCCTTCAAATTTGCTCTGGATCCGCCCCTGGCCAATTATATACTGATCCAATTTTCTCCATTAACCCTGTCAAATGGTAACACTGCTAAAGATGCATTGTTTTGGTACCAGACTATGTAACTGGCTCTAAAAAAGCTGAGTATATATGTAATATAGTTTGTTAAAGGTATGCCAAGTCAGACACAGAACATTTCAATGCCCTCCCTGGCTAAAAAACTACATTTTTTAAAATATTTTTTCTTTATGAAGTTAGTTAAATAAATCCACTAATATAAAGGTAATTTGCCTGTTTTATCAAAAATTTTGTGACTGTTTCATTTGAAACATAGAAAAAACGGAATAGGATTCAATATCTGACATGATAGAAATTATATGGGATGGCAGTCTTCTTTTCAAAAATAATCAAAAGTAGTCTAAGCTTTTTAACAAAAGTGTCTGAATTTTTGCCTTTTATATTTCTTTTGAGCAAAACTCTCCCCACACACAAATTGATTTTTGTTTTCCTCACAAGTGGGTCTAACAGAACAGTGAAGTATGCTGAGACAAGATGCAGATGGACATGAAAATTGCAAACAAATTTCTCAATGATAACAAAAATTGAAACTGTCTTCATTTTTTCATTGACAACAAAAGCTTTTTATGATTTTGCCTGCAGTTTTTGTGCCGTTGCATATTCTCTACACATTGATATAAGCATTCTTTTCTCATCCCTTCTTTATTTCAGTATGCTTGTGAGGTAACCCACCCACTTTCACAATGTATCTTCATTTTTTTTAATGACTGCTTTTGGTTGTGTTTTGGTAGTGTAATTGACAGGCTTTTAAACAATTTGGTCTCCTTTTAGGCCAAAGTGGTGCTGGTAACAACTGGGCAAAGGGACACTACACAGAAGGTGCAGAGCTTGTTGATTCAGTTCTAGATGTTGTTCGCAAGGAATCAGAAAGCTGTGACTCACTTCAAGGTTTCCAGCTTACTCATTCACTTGGTGGCGGTACTGGATCTGGTATGGGCACTCTGCTCATCTCAAAGATCCGTGAAGAATACCCAGACAGAATTATGAACACTTTCAGTGTTGTACCGTCCCCAAAAGTATCAGACACTGTTGTTGAACCATACAATGCGACCCTTTCCGTACATCAACTTGTAGAAAACACTGATGAAACATTCTGCATCGACAACGAAGCTTTGTATGACATCTGCTTCAGAACACTTAAACTGACCACACCAACGTATGGAGATCTGAACCATCTTGTCTCAGCTACCATGAGTGGTGTCACCACCTGTCTCAGGTTCCCAGGACAGGTACATAATTGCTTTTATGTACTTAAAACTGATTACTGTAATAGTAACATTTCAACTTCGATGTTGATGATGACAATATTACTCTTGGAGACACAACAAACTTGCTTTGAAACTTCAATCATTCTCCTTGATTTGTTTGAAATATTTTTATCTTGACTTTTTCCCTTTTCCAAGTCAATGCACATAAACCATTTCTTACCAAATTTGTCAATTTTTAGCTGAATGCTGATCTGAGGAAACTGGCAGTAAACATGGTGCCATTCCCACGATTGCACTTCTTCATGCCTGGCTTCGCTCCACTCACAAGCAGAGGCTCACAACAATACAGAGCCCTGACTGTGCCTGAACTGACTCAACAAATGTTTGATGCCAAGAACATGATGGCAGCCTGTGACCCACGTCATGGACGATACCTGACTGTTGCTGCCATGTTCAGAGGCAGAATGTCAATGAAGGAAGTTGATGAGCAAATGTTGAATGTCCAAAACAAGAACAGCTCGTACTTTGTTGAATGGATTCCAAACAACGTGAAGACTGCAGTTTGTGACATTCCTCCACGTGGACTGAAGATGTCAGCCACATTCATTGGCAACAGCACAGCAATCCAAGAACTATTCAAGAGAATCAGCGAACAATTCACTGCTATGTTCAGAAGAAAGGCTTTCTTGCATTGGTACACTGGAGAAGGTATGGATGAAATGGAATTCACAGAGGCAGAATCCAACATGAATGACTTGGTGTCTGAGTATCAGCAATATCAAGATGCAACTGCTGAAGAGGAGGGTGAGTTTGAAGAAGAGGAAGAAGAAGAAGCCTAAAGAAACATGGACGTGTCTTGATGAAACTGTTTTAAGCGTAAAAATTAAATGTTTTAGTGTTAGAAGTATCGAAAGATACTTGGTTTATAAGAGAGGAAACCGGAGTTACTGTGTCGTTTATTTTTTGTTTGCTCTCCAACCTATGACAGCAATGATTGAACTGAAAAGTGTAATGAACAAACCGATTTTTTGAGATCTTATTTTCCCTAAATTACATCGTCATTTCAACTTGCAACCAAATGCATGCTTACCTGGAGCATAGTCAATATTGACTATGCCTGGATGCTGGAGCACAGGTTTAATGCTGAGTGGACTGAATAATATTCTTTCTTTTGCCATTCAGCCACTTATGAAGCTAGTATGAAGTGTGATAATTTTACAATATGAATTTTTTCTGTCCCTGTACCGGCAGTAGCGCAATGAGGGAAGGCAAGAGGAGTCAAATGCCCCCCATTGCAAAAGTTCTCTTGGAAACATGGCGTTTTCTGGGGTTCCAAAGAGTGTGCTTTCTGGGGTTCCAAAGTTTAGCGATCGATAACCCCCAGTTACCCATCGCTAAACTCGTCTCAACCCCCCTCCCCCAGTTGAACCACTCTGGCTACGCGTCTGTGTAACAGGTCTCTTGTGAAGCAGTTCCTTAAGATGTTTTGCTTGTGATTTTAAAGACAGACCATATGGGCTTTGTTTTCTACTTTGTCGTTGCTTTTTTCAACCTGCATCGCATTTTAGTCTTTGTTATCACATCCTGCTCATTATCGCACAATATCATTGCAAGGTTGGAGAACGATGTATTTGTTAGCAGTTCCCTTGCAACTGTGATCGCTAGAATTTTCGCAATTGAAGCTTAGAGCTTAGATACCATTTTGACTCATCATATTGTTATACTGATAACTTAGCAGATGAATTCTAAGAAATGCACCACGGCAATTAAAAGTCTTTGAAATCCAAACTATTCATCTTGTTTTGAACAACAGCCCCACACTAAACACAAATCAGCAAATGTTTACTGCAGAAAGAAATCTGTAGGTACCATTGTCTTTACATAACCATGCCTTCCACTGGAACACTGTCATTTTGGATTTACCCAGTCTTCGTATCAGCCGCACATCACAGCTTCCCCTCGCACAGTAGTTACTTTAAGTCTCCGTGAACTCACCAAGACGCAGCAGTTCGACAACTTCGTGTCTTATTGCCTCCGTATCTTTTGCACACTTAAACATAGTCATCGAAAGTGTCTGCACTTACTAATCTGCCAATATAACAGGTTTTGCTAAGTAAAGTGATAAAAAATAGAGGACTACTGGAAAGTTTTATTGTTTATATTGATGACTTCTTTCCATTTAAGTTCAAGTGAGGACAGTTGAAAATATACAAATGTATTTCCGTTTGTATCCTTACCTTGTGATTATTTCTTCACCATGATTGGATGATTCTGTGCATGCTAAAATCATTGCTCAATTTTTTAAAAATAGCATCGAATAATTGCAAAAGCCAATGAAAAAAGAGAGGTTTCCTCGTGTCACTTAATTCAATTCAGTCTATTAAACCAATTTTTTGATAGATCTTATAAACAGCTGCCTGAAAGCCCCAGCCATCTTTGAACACTCGAAATAACTTAGAATATTGCTACTAAATGATGTGACATTTTCAATTCATATTTTCCGTTTATAGATTTTGAAGACGACAGAAATACTGCGTGTAGATGGACCTAGAGTAAGTTGTGTAGAAAGAAGCAGGTTATCCATTGGAGATTAAATTGGCAAATGAATTTCTTCATCATGGAGAAAGCCCTGGAATACCCCCAGAACATTGCTTCTATCGTCTGGTCTTTATCCACAAGATGTGAAAAACTTTTCAGGTAAAAATGAAAACGGGGCAGGGCTTGGGTGTGGCATTTCTGCATCATCATTGGCCTTGGGACCGCCATGCTTTTAGTTCTGCTTATAAATAGCGTGTAGCGTGTAATACACGTAAAACAGCGTGTAGCGTGCAAATTGTACCCTAAAATAATGTGCTGGTTGTAGCGCTTGATATCAACTAGCCGACAGAATTAGACTTGGTGCTATTTAAACTGGGCGATATTTAAACAGAGAATGATTTCAAGCTAAGCTATGTGAAAGCGAAGCAATATTGATAATACCAGCATCCGATGCAATATTCCAATACTGTCTATTAACTATCCAATGCCTATGCCACTTAAAAACTACAGCCTCTACATATGCATCAACGAAATATCTTTCAATAAACAAAAGTGTTTTCAGTCATTTGGAGTGAAGGATGAAGACTAGAACCTGTAGCTTCGCCAGCCCGAGCAGACATCAAAAAATAGACCAAAATCTCGACCACGACCGTGAAACTCTCAGAGAACGTGAAAGACGCCTTTTTAAATAATTTTGATTGATTTCTACATTTTTAGAAAAGCAACTATCTCAAGCAGAATTTATTTCAATATGGGGACGTTTTTGTAAGAACGAAAATCGAAATCGATCTCATCAACTTTTCTTCTCCAATATTTTTTGTCAGATTTCGAGAAATTAGAGAATCGACCTTGGGGAAAGCTGAGGCGGACATGCTCACCCCAGTCCACGCCGTGGTGATATCTTTGCATCATTCTTTCCTTCATGCAAAGAAACATCTTTCTTTCTTTACCTGATGTTTTAATTCTGTTAGCATCATATAACATTTTTGTTTACCTTAATTGTGGTTGTCATCGTTGTAACAAATGCAGCGTATGATATGGTTTTAGCAATTTTGGCGTTTGGCGCTTTGTGATGTACGGTTCTTTATGCTTTCCAATTTTATACGCGACCCCCTTTAAAGTCAGCGGTTGACTAAAAGACAATTTCTATTTTGGCTACCGAATGAACGAATTGAAATTAAACTAAACGGTACAAACGTTCACTAATCGTTTATACGAATCGATTTAATTCGAGTGTACTAATGTTTTTCATAAGAATACCAAAAGTCTTATCCAGCCTGGATAGTCATAAGGAATTTTCTTTTTTAAGCATAAATCATTCTTAATATTTTTTCAATTCTGATGTGGTGTCAAGGGAACATCGCCCGGCATTGAATAGCAACGACGCTTTTTGAAAAGCCGAGATATATCAGTCATGAAATTTGTCCATTATGAATAATCAGCATTGCAATTCTGGCAACTACTAACAATCAAACACAAATATGCAAGGTTAAGCTGAGCAATTTTCTTATAATATTCTTAAAATTTGGATGATTCTGAGCCTGAATATTCTTATAAACAATATTTCTAAAATTGGAATATACTAATATAATTATGGATTAGGACGCTCTCTTTATGCTAAGATTGCCTTTCTCATTTTTGTTATTTTAAATAAATATGTGACATGTCTCCAAATCTCTTGGCACTGTGCACTAAATTTCAGCAAATTTTCCACAATGTCGCATCATCTTTCATGTTTTCGTTATTAGGGTATAACCTTTTCAGGAAGCCGGGGCTGGGGGTCAGGGCTGGGGGTCAGGGCTGAGGGGCTCGGTAAGCTGTAGCCCGATCCATTGTTTCGATGAAGCAGGCTGTTACGGTTGCAGCATCAAATATAATGATGACAAACTAACAAAATTATGCAAACCTCCCTAGAGATGTCTAAGCCCCCTAGCATCATAACCTCGAATGATTTAAAACTGACGCAAACCTGTACTTTGGAGCTTGAAATAATTGTGATTACAAAAAGATGTGCAGGAAATAGATATTAAACTACATTAAGTATAAATGCTTGCCAACCCTTACCAAATTGAATGTTATCCGAAAGTTTGTCTCGCAGAAAATTTTTTTATGAACCACGCATGCACAATGTATATTGACTGAAGCATAGGCTATAATATCTAAACATTAGTGTCTTAATTTTCGAAACAGTCGCTCTTCCAAACTTTTAGGAACATCATTTAAAATAAATGACAATATCGTACTTGTCATCAATAAATAACAGTTTTGTTCTTGTCAATTCCTCACTTTCCTCTTCTTCTTTCTCCGTCGCATCTGACTCGATAGCACCAATGCTTTTAAAAAGTGACTGATCATAACTTCAGCCGCAGAGCTGAAGCCATAAGGAGGCCAAGGGGTAAGCAAGCCCTTCAATATGGAGTAAAATACTATTGTGGATTTAAAATTGTGTTACAATCTTTGGCTTTAGCTCAACCTCTCACGCAACAATCCTTTCCAAAGAAAGCTCTTTCTGGCATTGGGCTTGGTATGAAAACCCTTTTGAAGATTAAACGTGTATTTTAGAAGCTTTTACCACTGAAGGGGGCTTCGCTTGAGGTGGTTAGTTTAATGTAAACAAGTTTATAAGAAAGAAAGAATTTGACGTCACAACCTCATAATAGCACATGGCAGGGAATTTGAAAGTATTTCAAAGTTGAAGAAGCAGCGATTGAAATTCTTGAGGACATTGGCCGTCTTTTTTATTCATTGTTTTTTGATGATCAACAAAACTTTTTAAGAGCTCAGTCCTTGTTTTCCTCTGGCCCCGTGTTATTTCGATTTAGTAGGACAGTAATTCAGTAAAATCATCCCACTTTGAAAAATGAATTTCGAAAATGCCCACTATCGCCTTTCAGCAAGAGATATGTGCAGTTGAACTTATAGTTCTAGGGTAGATAGTTCTGGGTTAGCAAACTTACTTTTGGCTAATGATTTTATTTGCGACACTTTTTACGTACTTTTCAAGGTAAGCTAACCACTCAGAGCAAGATTATGACAGCAAAATGACAAAAAATGCAGCCATGAATACGAAAAAGAACTAAAAACAAGCAATATTGCAAGCAGATATCAGTTTGAAAAATAATTGATCAACTAATAGCTCATCTACATCTTCTTGCATCGCGTGCAGCCCTTGTTGCTACACTTTCTGAAAGGTGGACAAGAAGGCTCCTTGTCAGAGCTCGTGCACCTGACGATCTGTGGTTTCCAGGTGAGCCACCTCCCTGTGCTTACTTTTTTAGTATCAACTTGCAGCTGCCACATACACCCTCCTTTGAACTGGGCGCCACTGTCGTGGAACTCGCAAGCAAAATCGATGCGACTGGCCTCGGAATGGCTCTTTGTCCAAGCAGTTGACAGGGAAGATGAAACTGAGATGGAAACTGAAGCAGAACCAAACTTCAGGCCTGATTCAATGGAGGAGGCTACTTCAATTGTCACAGTCTTTGTCACTGTGGATCCATATGCGACAGAATTGGTAATTGAATGTGAAACCTTTCCGTTTTTATTGCAGCCAACCATAAACCATTTTGCAATTGGAGGTGTCCACTTTCCGGCTTCCCATTTGAATCGCTGATCAGACAAACCTTCGCAATCATAAGTTTTAACACCGCCTTTGCCATCCTTTCCTGAAACATCCAAACATTTGTTGGATCTTTTGTTCACAAATGAGCAGTGATTGCCATTGCAAAGCTTTTTGGGTTGAGACCACATTTGATCTCGTTTGTCTTCACAGTAATATGTCTGAATATTGCCCGTGCCATCACTCCCTGAAACGTCTACACATCGTTTCGACTTCTCGTTGACAATTTCTCCATTTTGGTAGAACCGGAACCATTGGTCTTGCTTGTCTTCACATTTGTATATTTTGATGTTTCCTTTACCATCACTACCGCTTACATCAAGGCATCTTCCGGACTTTTCGTTTATGAGTCTACCAAAGGCGATTTGCTTACCTCGAGAACGGAAGTAGAAGTACTGATCATTCTTGTTTTCGCATTTATACACCTGGATCTTCCCAGTTCCATCTGTTCCTTGGACATCAAGGCATTTGCCTGATTCCATATAGATGATCTCTCTTGCTTCCTGTGTGATTCCACATTGATGATCTCATCATTGTCATAAAATCTTATCTTTCTTCCCAACCTCCACCTCTGATTCCTGGGGATCTGTGGATAAAAGTTGCATCTTTCTGACTTGACCTTGGCATTACCCTTTCCATTTGGTGTGAAGCAGAAATTCAGCTTCTCATTGCGGATCGTGCCGTCACCACAGAGAATGATCTGCTGGTCTTTAAGCCCATCTCACTTGTAGGTCTGCACAGACCCTTCTCCATTGTTTCCCTCAATATCAACACACCTTTTTGACTTCAAATTCCACAGCTCTCCAATTATCAGGGGGTTTGTGCACAGGACCTGGGCGGATCCCAGCAAGAACAGGTTTGATAACGTAAGAGCTGCGAGAAGTATAATCATCCGAGACATCTCTGTCTATCGATACCCTAGAATATAAAGGTTTAGCATTAAACCATCACCATTGTTGAGAATAGCTTTGGTTGAACATGATTCTGGATGCACATTGGCTTAAGCCATCTTACAATCAAAAATTGACCAATCAGTGAGTGTGATTCCACACTCACGCTCATTTATTAGCTACGTAAGAACCGATATCATTACAGAAACTGTTGGCCAGCAGAGGAAATCTTTGTTGAGTCTGGAAAGAATCTGTCAGAAGAGACGTGGGCCTATAGCCACTTGAGACCGAGGAAAAGAGCCCATAACGAGGCTGCCTCTGTCCATACAGGTTTTAAGCATTCCTTCAGTAGAAAATTAATCATTCTTTACCAGGGCTATTAGCCTTAAAGTCCTTGGACCACTACCTATATTCAAGTATGTGTTGGAGACACACGCAAAGAACTGGACACTACACGTGATGTCAACGTAATCAGTCTGTGGGGAATTTACTTGACATTTTGTGACCTGTTCGGAGACATCTCTGTTTTTTTCAAACTTTTGGGAGTTTTGTTCATGTCACTGAACTGATTTTTTTCTTCGTGTTGTCCTCTGTCGTTGAGTTTAGAAGCTGCAAGTTTATTTTTTTATTTATCTTCATTTATCATTCACAGTTAAACCCTGTAGCAAAAGTGTGGCTCAACATGTGGGATCAGTGGGGTCGTTTGACCTTTGAGACAAGAGGAGGGGTGGAGTTTCATCAATAGAAAAATTTACCGACGAAGGCATAGATGGAGAAGAATTCAGGACCCAAATTCGAGAACCTGGTTCCAGTACCCCATTCTAAAAATAGCATCAAGTGGTAAGATTGTCAATTACATTTTTTCGTATTACTTTTCAGTTTGTTGAAAGAATGGAGGAGGCTACATTTCATATTCATATAAAAGAGAGTAAATTATTTAGAAAAGAAAGCCTAAAAAGAGACATCGGTACCATTTTTTTATATTTTAAAATAACAGAAAGGGGCAATTTTCATAACCCTTTCTCTTAATATATTTTAATATATGATTATGCACCTAAATCTTTCCTTTCCCACTTTTTTCATAAATCAGTAATGACATATGGAGATTGGCCCAATTCGAGGACTGGGGCCAAGTACCCCAGTCTAAGAATGGCACTTGGGAGCATTTTCGGCTTGTGTCTGTTCGGCATCGTCATCAGCGTCTGAAGTTACCCCAGTGTACTAATTTTCATGCTGGTATCACAATTTGCACAATTCATGTCAATTGCTGATCTTAAAGCCTAGACATATAGTCTGGCGATTTTACGACAGATGATTTTACAGACAAACTAAGGATTTTGTAGACAAAGTGAAAATTTACCGACGGGTTCATGAAGTATTGGGGGGTTGTTACACCCCCGACACCCCCGCTAGCTCCTGTATGGGATGTTTTCTTGGACTAAGCTCGTCATTCTACGTATGTAGACACCAGTAATGCGATATTGTCGAAATTTTGGGAATTCAGCTCATAATATTTAGTTTTACTCTAGAAAAAAAGAAAGAATAATGTAGGTTTTAGATTTTTCGAAGAGCTCTGCATTGGAAATTCGATGACATAATAATAAGGAAGACTAGGTAAAATGTTGCTTAAGAAGCTGTTCATAGGTGTTGAATGATTCAGCTTTGAAAATGAAAATATGTTTGATGCTTCTTGATATTATTTGACTGTTCTTGAGACTAATAAGTCACAATAGTCATCATAATGCACTTGTGTAGTATGACAGCAATGACATATTTAGATCAACATAGTTTTAGTGCATTTGCAGTGAATTCCAACTCACTTAGTTATCAGCACAAAGGTCGTGGCAGAACTTGGGAAAATCCATTGATGACGTCACAAAATATACAAACGCCCCAAACCCAATTATATGATACATCAATTGATAGCTCTTGAAATGCGCATTCACACAAAATCTAGAATTGCTAAATTCTACAGTTTATTTTGAATAGATAGCGGATTTATGACTGTTTTTGTTTATATCGAGGACGTCATCAATCACGTGACACTGAGGCAAAATTGATTTGGTCCCATCTTGGATTCTGAATCTCCATACTCGAGAGTACATCAACCATCGAGATCATCTCGGTTAGGTGATAAATCAGATTTTCACAGCCATAGCCCTGCCTATAACTGGCACATGGCTCGAAAGCCCCTATGCGTTATTTCCACGTGTCATTCAGCTATAACTTTATAGATACAAAATAATTATTTTAGATATCTGAACCTTGTATGTATTGAAGTACAACTAGAGTTGTATCTTGATTAATTGTTTGATTAGATCAGTATATTGTAATTAGGCTGAGAATACACATGAAATTGAAATTGAATATATAGTGTGATGTGCAGCAACCTAAGGTTTTCGGATGCTAATGTTTCATCGAAAGATGCGGGCATCGCATCAAGAGTGGGAGAATAAGTTTGTGAAGACAGGGACGTGGACATAATGTTCCAATACAACCTTCCTCTGATGACGTAAGAACATGTCCCGAAGCCGACAGTGGCGTACCTAGGGCTGCAGTAGCAGGGGGGTCTCGGGTCAGCCCCAGAAAATTTCCCCCCTTGGGTACGCCACTGGAAGCCGATCGATTGCCATTTATAGTGAGTTTGACATTCGTATAGACATTCGGACTTTAGATTCAGATTAAGTTTATTTCAAAGATAAAATTGACTCAATTGCCTGTTGATTTATCTATTTATTTTCTTAAAAAGAGGCCCTTTACATACAAAAGTAACCAGGTACTTTTGATGCGGCCTAAATTTCCGTAATTGACATTCGATATTAAACATCACAACCTGATTTTAACTGATCTTAAACACTAGAGCCAAAACGAGTCATCTAAATCTACTCAAAGCAATATAAAAGCTACCTTTTCTTCTATTGTTCACCACTTTTAAGCGAATAACTGCGAAATTCGGACTTCAACCACCAACAACAAGCTCCGAGAACCAACAGACTTCTGTTCAGCTACCAACTGAGAAACCTCTTAATAACTTCCACAGGAAGACAACAATTCCCTAAAAAACTTAACTAAACTTGATATTGTTGCTTGTAGTAGTGTAATCGTAAAATTTCAGGAAGCTTTACCCAAAAGCCAAAAACAAAAACAGCGTTTCATTTATGATGGCCCATAACTGCCACAGCAAAAACAAAAGACAACATTTTCCCTTTTTGCCAACTTGTTCACGGCATTCCCCAGAAGGTCCACGACAAAAGCAAGCGTTAAGGTCAATCCACAAAATAAGGATACAAAAGCTGTAAACGGCAGCAGGGGCGCCTACACAAGGGGGGCTAGAGGGGCAGCTGCCCCTCCTGCCCTCTTCGAAGAGGGGCAGAGGGGGCAAAAAGTGCCCTGAAATATGATGACCACTTTCACTACTCTCGTTATGTTAATATCTATTAGAAAATACTAGAAAGAAGATAACACCAGCTCAAAAATGCAAAGAATGAAAAGTTTGTCTGTGACAAGGTCGGCCACAAGGGGGAGAACGGCAAAGGTAATAGATGATAAACAAAAGACGTGTTCCCTCCGAAGTACTCCAGAAACCTAAGGAGGATAAATCGGTATAAAAACTTGGCGGGCAATCAAAATTTTACATCCAGCCCATTTCTAACAGCCATGATTTTTAGAAAACCAAACATTGTGTATAGTGACAAGGCCATTTAATACCATTTTTCATTCATGGATAATTTCGTCAACATTTTCTTTATGTTTAGAATCTTTGATGGTAAAAAACCCAACTGTATGAGTGGCACATATTCTAGTTAATATTTTATCATGTTACCCCAGCCTCGCCCCCTCCCACCTAGGAATGCTCGATTATCTTAATAGAAAAATTCAACGATTTGCCCTTGGCACCAACACTGCCCCACCTGCCCTAATCTTGTGCAGGCGTTCCTGAACGGCAGTCCAGATAAAGGAGATGTTTGAGAATGGCATCCATGCGGAAAGAAGACGTTAAGTAAAATGATGCTATATTTTTAAAATGTGTACTTATTTGCGAATGTTGGCAAAATCAAGTGCAAACATTTGAGAGCGTAATAATTCTTATTTCTTAATTCAAATGGTTACTAATGTCCAGTCCTAGAATATTTCAAGCCCAATGGCAAGGGCTATAACAGCGAAGGTTTCTCCTTGCTGACAAAAGCATAGGGTTTGGGACATTGACCCCCTGGATTCCCTAAAACTGCTGTTAGTTTAATCCCCATTGTTCTTGTTGTAAATCTATCTACAAGAACAATGGAATGATGGATCGTGTGATCACCAGCCTCCTAATTTTAAGGTTCTTGACGGATTTTGAGTCAAAGAACCACCAGATCGCATACCAAAAGAGAAAAATCCCGGTTACCCTATCTGCTAGATATGTCTAAAACCTCTCGGCGGCCCTGGGTGCTGCATACAGTTATTCAATCACTTTCATACTCACTCGAACCTTGGTTGAGACAAGTATTGAATATTTTTTTTGTACCTCTATCTAGTATGATACTGATATTTAAGAAGCATAACGCAATTGTTTGCTTGAGTAGGTAGTATATCGCTGCAGCTCTATGCCGCGTCAGTGGCGGATTTAAAGGGGGGCAGCTAGGGGCAGTTTCCCCTCCCTCGACGAGTTGAAGCAAGTCTGGCGCCCCTTTTTTGGAAAGTGTGCGCCCTTTTTGAAGAATGAGAATCAGGTGAAAGTGTTTCTGAGACCGACAGGCTTATTTGCTTCACGGATTACCTCAAAATTATGTTGTTTATTCCGAAAATGGATCTGAAATAGTTGTATACAGCGTACTCTCGTTGTCAATTTTTGAAAATTTTTCAGCGCCCCCACTACCAACTGCCACCTCCTTCAAGTTTGCTCTGGATCCGCCTCTGTGCAGTTTAACACATCCACCACAACACCGGTTGCTAGAATTAATGTACTTGAAATGATTTATTGGTCACAGGGCGGACAAGGCAAACGGCAAACGGATTGAAACTGGCCCTGTGTCTTTTTACAAATTGTACTCAGCCTAATAGATGCTATTTTTACTTCCTTCGGAAACATAAGCGATTGATTTCGGGGACTGTGGCACTTATCCAAACAAATGCACAAGCACAAATATAGTTGCCACCTTTTGCTATCCCCCCATGTCTACTACCCAGTGCCGAGAAGAGGGGGGTCAGGGGGGTCACTGACCCGGGGGCCCTTGGCTATAGGGGCCCAAAAATAATAACTTAGTTAAAAAAAATCTAAGTAATAATCCAGCCTCTCCATTACCACAAACTGTCATTAGTAGAGACAAAAGTCTATGAATGAAGTAAGGTAGAAGCAGTTTGAGTCTTTGACTGCCTGAGTGTTAATACCGCCTTCTTCCAGGATGGATGCCATTCTCAAACATCTCCTTTATCTGGACTGCCGTTTACAGCTTTTGTATCCTTATTTTGTGGATTGACCTTAACGCTTGCTTTTGTCGTGGACCTTCTGGGGAATGCCGTGAACAAGTTGGCAAAAAGGGAAAATGTTGTCTTTTGTTTTTGCCGTGGCAGTTATGGGCCATCATGAATGAAACGCTGTTTTTGTTTTTGGCTTTTGGGTAAAACTTCCTGAAATTTTACGATTACACTACTACAAGCAACAATATCAAGTTTTTATCGATTGGGAACTGTTTTACGGAAGTTTTTTAGGGATTTGTTGTCTTCCTGTGGAAGTTTTTTAGGGATTTGTCTTGTCTTCCTGTGGAAGTTATTAAGAGGTTTCTCAGTTGGTAGCTGAACAGAAGTCTGTTGGTCCTCGGAGCTTGTTGTTGGTGGTTGAAGTCCGAATTTTGCAGTTATTCGCTTAAAAGTGGTGAAGAATAGAATAAAAGGTAGCTTTTATATTGCTTTGAGTAGATTTAGATGACTCGTTTTGGCTCTAGTGTTTAAGATCAGTTAAAATCAGGTTGTGATGTTTAATATCGAATTTCAATTACGGAAAGTTTAGGCCGCATCAAAAAGTACCTGGTTACTTTTGCAAGTAAAGTGCCTCTTTTTAAGAAAATAAATAGATAAATCAACAGGCAATTGAGTCAATTTTATCTTTGAAATAAACTTAATCTGAATCTAAAGTCCGAATGTCTATACGAATGTCAAACTCACTATAAATGGCAATCGATCGGCTTCCAGGGGCATACCCAATGGGGGAAATTTTCTTGGGGCTGCACCCGAGACCCCCCTGCTACTGCGGCCCTGGGTACGCCACTGTCGGCTTCGGCACATGTTCTTACGTCATCAGAGGAAGGTTGTATTGGAACATTATGTCCACGTCCCTGTCTTCACAAACTTATTCTCCCACTCTTGATGCGATGCCCGCATCTTTCGATGAAACATTGGCATCCGAAAACTTTAGGTTGCTGCACATCACACTATATATTCAATTTCAATTTCATGTGTATTTTCAGCTTAATTACAATTTACTGATCTAATCAAACAATTAATCAAGATACAACTCTAGTTGTATTTCAATACATACAAGGTTCAGATATCTAAAATAATTATTTGTATCTATAAAGTTATAGCTGAATGACACGTGAAAATAACGCATAGGGGCTTTCAAGCCATGTGCCAGTTATAGGCAGGGCTATGGCTGTGAAAATCTGATTTATCACCTAACCGAGATGATCTCGATGGTTTATATACTTTCGAGTATGGAGATTCAGATTCCAAGAACGGACTAAAAAATTTTTGCCTTAGTATCACGTGACTGATGACGTCAAACGACAAAAACAGTCATAAATCCGCTATTTATTCAAAGTGGATGAGGTTGTAAGTTGTGAAAGGGAAGAGTCCCAATTTTCTTTATCTATACGGTGCAGAGGAAGTGTACACTTCTGAATCTCAAGATATTTTGTTTGAACTGCCTGTTGGATTTGCTGAAAAATTAGGAAAACCTTTTAAAGCGAAAAATGTTTGACTGAACAATTTGAGCGTTTCAGGGCCCCAGTCCCAATTGCTCTGGTTCTGGGGGGCTGGGCCCCCATCATGGCTCCGCCCTTGACCATGAGGGAGGCCCCCTAGACCCCATGCTGGGCAGTGTTAATGTGCGACCGTCAACTTTTATTCTGTATCCGCCCCTGCGTAGAAAGATGAGCTTAGTCCAAGAAAACATCCCATACAGGAGCTAGCGGGGGTGTCGGGGGTGTAACAACCCCCTAATACTTCATGAACCCGTCGGTAAATTTTCACTTTGTCTACAAAATCATCTGTCAATAAAGTCTAGGCTCTAAGATCAGTATTTGACATGAATTGTGAAAATTGTGATACCAGCATGAAAATGGGTACACTGGGGTAATTTCACACGCTGATGACGATGCCGAACAGACAAAAGCCGACAAATGCCCCTAAGTGCTATTTTTAGACTGGGGTACTTGGCCCCAGTCCTCGAATTGGGCCAATCTCCATATGTCATTACTGATTTATGAAAAAAGTGGGAAAGGAAAGATTTAGGTGCATTATCATATATTAAAATATATTAAGAGAAAAGGAAATGAAAGATTGCCCCTTTATGCTATTTTTAAAATATGAAATTGGTTTGGTACCAATGTCTCTATTTAGGCATTCTTTTCTAAATAATTACTCTCTTTTATATGAATATGAAATTTAGCCTCCTCCATTCTTTCAACAAACTGAAAAGAAATACGAAAAATGTAATTGACAATCTTATCAGTTGATGCTATTTTTAGAATGGGGTACTGGAACCCGGTTCTCGAATTTGGGTCCTGAATTCTTCTCCATCTATGTCTTCGTCGGTAAATCTTCAGTTTGTATACAAAATCCTTAGCTTGTCTGTAAAATCATCTGTCAATAGGTGAAAGAGTACCTAAGTTCTTCTCCATCTATGTCTTCGTCGATAAATCTTCACTTTGTATACAAAATCCTTAGTTTGTCTGCAAAATCATCTGTCAATAGGTGAAAGAGTACCTAAGTTCTTCTCCATCTATGTCTTCGTCGATAAATCTTCACTTTGTATACAAAATCCTTAGTTTGTCTGCAAAATCATCTGTCAA